TCTGGCATATCTTCTGGCATTCTATCTGGCAAATCTTCTGGCATTCTATCTCGCATATCTTCTGGCATTCTATCTGACATATCTTCTGGCATTCAATCTGGCATTCTATCTGACATATCTTCTAGCATTCTATCTGGCATTCTATCTGGCATATCTTCTGGCATATATTCTGACATATTTTCTGGCATTCTATCTGGCATCCTATCTGGCATTCTATTTGGCATTCTATCTGGCATATCTTCTGGCATATCTATCTGGCATATCTTCTGGCATATTTTCTGGCATTCTATCTGGCATATCTTCTGGCATATTACCTGGCATTCTATCTGGCATATCTTCTGACATATCTTCTGGCATTCTATCTGGCATTCTATCTGGCATTCTATTTGGCTTTCTATCTGGCATATCTTCTGGCATATCTATCTGGCATATCTTCTGGCAGATTTTCTGGCATTCTATCTGGCAAATCTTCCTACATGAGGTCCGGCAGGGAACACTTGGCGTGGATACTCGCGGTTGAGGTCCGGCAGGGAACACTGGGCGTGGATGGTCGTGGTTGAGGTCCGGCAGGGAACACTGTGGATCGCGGGTCGCAGTTGGACGAGGACGACGAGAACGACGAGGACGACGAGGACGACGAGGACGACAAGGACGACAAGGAGGACGAGGAGGACGAGGAGGAGAGGAGGAGGAGGACGAGCAGGAGGCAGGACGAGGCAGGAGGAGGCAGGAGGCAACTGACATAAAATCTAACAACCCTCACCTGGCAGGTGGGGAAAAAATCTTAACCCCAAGGAACCCAATCTTTGTTACTTTCATGAGTATGTTTTTTTTGTTTTTTTGTGTTTTTTTCCCCATTTTCCTTTTCCCTTTGCAGCAGATTGGCATAGGCCAACAGACATGCAGCAGATAAATAATTGTTTTTCTAGAAAATTTGAAAACGACTATTGCAAAATATTGCAAGTGCACGCTGGTGGTCTATGTCCACGCAACCCAAGGAACAGAACAACATCAGCCGGTCATACTGCGATGAAACAATATGCCTTATTGATGATGGCGTCTGAGATTATATATTTGCCAAATGTAGGGGTGGGTATAGAAATAGACCCACTCTTTTGGATCTTTTGGGAACGGGTTCCAATTCTAACCCATACGCAATTTATGCAAAAACCAATGTGGCGCTACCTGACATCATCTCTTGGTCCATGTTCAGGCACTATGCCCTATGCAATCAAAAAATCGTTGATTTTCCCATGGAAGTTCCAGATTTAACACAGTTGGATGAATTTCCACTCACTGCCACCATCGTCCATCTCCATCATGTGATGGTTTATCATCATTTTTCCAATATTTTTCCTATGAAATTTGAGGACATTTGGGGGTATCTCCATGTATCTCCCATTTTTAGACACGCCCATTCAACACAGTAAAAGCAGCCCCGTGGCCGTAGATCAAAGATCTGAGACTTCCGCCTGAAGCGGCGGCGACTGCTGCGACTGCTGCGACTGCTGCGACTGCTGCGACTGCTCCATCCGCGCGCGCCAGGCTTGCAGTTCTTGGTTCCTGACCAGGCGAAGAAAAAAAATCTGAGAGTTACCCTCTGGTAAACTAACATAGCCACATAGCTATTGAACATTGCCATTTATATACTTGATTTACCCATTAAAAATGATGATGTTTCATAGTTATGTAAACGTTTTCCAGAGGGGATTTACCTCCATAAATCGCTTCTGAATCCCCCATGAAATATGCCATCCCATAGAATATCTCTTTGACTTAAAATTGATGACAGTTAAATGTTCTATTGTTGAATATTGTTGATGGCTATATATATATAAACAGGATATTTCATATCAAATAGATAGTCGATTAATAATCCTTATCTGGGGATTCATGCAATCTATTGTTGATATTAAATCCCTGTGTATATCGCATCAATAACCCCTCTTCCAATTCCAAATAAATTCCAAATTATACCTATAATATAAATCCCGTACTATTACCATTTTCCCAACCTTTTTCCTGCCACTTTTCCACCCTTTCCGTTTTCGAACCTGCGCGCCTGTCCAAGAGTTCCGCCTGGTGATCCTCCTGCAGCCGCTGCAAGCGTTCCAGCTGCGCCTCCAGTAGGGAAATTATCAATTGTTGGTTGGTAAAAAAAAACAGTTGGTAATAATTGAAAACCAGGAAATTACTTGCTGATTATAATATGTATCAATGATCAATTGTTGATAACCACGTAATTAATTATCAATCAATTTCAATTATCAATTATGGTGGTTGTTGTTTCTAGTTGCTTCATCCACCTTTGGGGGAATGATAACATATGAAAACATGACTCCAATTACATGATGGGTTTATGATACATATTTATATATATATATATATTATATATATAATGGGAATATAATGGGAATACAATGTTACAATGGGAATATAATGGTTCATTACATGAACTATGGTTATATAATGGGAATTAATTACAAAGCAACTTATGACTGGGAGGATTATACTGGTTGAGAACCAATCAACATGGGAATGGACAGTACTTTGTCTGAAAATATCGTGTGACGCAGTTGGCCAAATATTCGGTCCTTTAGCCTACCATCTTTTGTGGCTGCGTTGAGCCATTGTTTGGCCCCCCCATTGAAACCCTGATCTCCAGTTGCAAATCGGATACCCCAAAATTCCATGGCTTTCAAATCCATCTTCTCTACGGAAACGGCCAAAAAAAGACGGTTTATCTTACAGTTACAACATGTTACAACCCACAGTGTCGACGCACCCTTTGGATGATCCTACAAGTTGTAAGACACTAGAGGATTCGTATAATATACCTGGTTTTGTTGTGCAGTCTTATGCTATGTGTGTTTTTCTAAACATGGCTGTTTCTCGTGCGGTTGTTGGTTCATGGGCGTTCCTTGATTACACCAATTCAATTTCACACGAACCACTTAATATAACGGCAAACAAAATCGCCCACCCCGCAACAGCTTTTGGGCATTGCTCAAACCGGACTGTCCATGGCTATCTTTTCCTGTTTGTAGTTGAATTATGTTGTAGTTTTTTTTTCCACATGGCCGTTGGATCCCAAAAACAGGTGACCAAACGGCAAACATAAACGAAACTACAAACCTCTTGCATACATATTTGTCTGAATGAATCGAACTGCTGTACTATTGGAATCTATTGGATATTGGTTTCTGTAAGAATGATTGGATGTAGACATAGATTGATGAGTTGCTGGCATGCCTTACAGCATGTTGCTGGCATCTCTCCAGGTTCGTGCATTTTCGGACCTGAGGTTTGTGCATTTTCCCGGAGGTTTCATCTTTTTCAAAGGGATGTGTTATGGTTTGTCTTACATATATATATATAATTATATACATACACTATCATATACAGTAGAATTCCATGATACACATACATAGTACTGAAACACAATATGTATGTTGAAATAACATACTGTACACAGGCAGGAACAGTGTATACACGTCTAACAATACCTATATTGCATCAGTCTATGATCCCAAAACAAAACGACATCCGACCTCTTTGTGCCACAGCTGGAACATGCTCCGCAGCGAAGCAGTGCCTGGAACCAGCTGGCGCAGCCGATCTTCACGGGGAACGGGCCTTACATATGAAAGATGTAAACCAGAAAAATGGGGCAGTGGTTTTAAATCAGAAAAATTGGGATTTACAAGGATTTACAAGGCACATGGGTGTTTAAGCAACAAACATTGTTATTCTGTCAACAAAAATGCTGTTAGAGCCGCCAAAATGCTGGTGGCACCAGTAGAACTAAAAGCATGTGTTCTGACAATTGACATGGAAACCTGGCCTGGCAAATTTCTTACCCCCTAAAATGTTTTGTTAGGTTTCACTGTTTTTGTGGAGGTTCAACATCAGGTGGATGTTTCACCAAACTATAGAATATATGATGAATTGCTGCCAGTGAACCACATTAATGTTGGATGGACAATAGTAAAGCGCGTGCAATAGCTACAAATAATTTTCAGAATCTGATTTTTCAGCCCCTATTGATTTTAAATTAGGCCTTATTGATTTTAAATTACAAACATCAACCTTGGTCCAGAGCATCTGCAATAAATGTGGTTCATTCGCAATAGCTACCAATAATTTTCAGAAAATTCCCAAATTATCAGATTTTCCAATACTAAATTGTAAAGGAGCTAATTGAGATTTAGTATGGATGCAGGAAAAAAAATCAGAACCAGTTACAGTTCAGCTGTCTTTTTTCCCTTTTTCCTTAGTGTTTTTAATTGTGGTTGAATGGTTTTTAATTGTGATTGCATGTTTTTCAAAAGCAAAAACAAAGCAAACCTTTACCAAATCAAAAACTTTACCTTGTTCAAAAAAGCTGTTTTCTTTATTAAAATCCTTTTAAAACATTGCAAAAAAAATGTCCACAAAGGGTACCCCCTTGCAGGTCCTTGCATTTGCAATTAAAAGCTGGAATTAGCACTTGCAATAAGAAACAACCTTCCTGGCTCTAGCAGACATTTTTTTCCCTTCTTCCTATCAGAATCCAATGAAGATCCCATCAGAGCCCATCAGAAAAGAGAGGATTTGTCAAAACCTTACAGAAGCCTTTGGGGAAGAGTTGGGATTTTCGATTTGCTATTGCAAAGCAGACACCCCCCCCAAAAAAAAAAGGGGGGGACCCCCCTTTACTATTGTCGATGTAACATTAAAACGAAAACGGAATCAAGATATCTGGCTGGTGCCTTCAACCAATCATCTTGATCATAGGGGTGCCATAGGGCTGTCATAGAGCTTGAAAAAGACAAATCACTCAAAAAAAAGAAAGGAGTCGTCCGTTGGATAAATTGTGACAAAACAAAACGAACGCATGTTCAAAGGTCATCTATAATGTACACAAATGTGCTTCCATTATTTTCCAACTGTCGTGTCTGTCTGCTGGAAAGTCTGAATTAGCACCCCGCCGATTCGCAGTCCGAATCTGTGAACTGCATTTAACCAGTAAAGAAAATACACAGGTGGACAGCACGAATGTTCCCAGCTATTGAGACGTGGAATCCCGAAGGGTGACAAGTGACAACCAAGATTTTCTGCCATTTCAAGAAACACACCACTTCACCAGTCCCTGACCCCGCTAGGCCTATCCACCTGTGCATCAATTGGGAGACCGTCACGACGTTCTTCTTCTTGGGAGGAGGCAACTGGTCACATGGCCAGTCGGCGAGCCAAATTGAGGTACCAATGGGGTTGATGATTTTCAGCCATATCATACCTACCTGTGAGGATCAACATGGGAAAACAAGACAAAAACGTATATGAACCGTATCTCATAAACTGCATGTTCAGCGTGCTCAGCTATGGATGGCGAAAGATTAGCCATCTGACTATTCATGTTGCTTGTGTTTATGTTTTTTTACAACATAATCAACATATGACATGCACAATGATATTGGTTCTAAATGTTAAGCATACCCCAAACCCACCAATTGATACCTATCTTCATCAATAATAACAATATAGGTTGAGTCCCAACTATATCGATGCAACTATATTGCTTGGTTCTATCCCGGTGAACACAAATCACATCACTGCTGACTTAGCTTCTGAGACCTCTGCTCTATATCGTATGGTGATGATGATGACCATGATGATGATCACAATAATCCTGATTCATCAAAAATATACAGTACGTAATACGTGAAAGATACAGCTGTATTATGTGCAAAACTGTACACATATATTATATATAATGATTATATTATAGACATATGGCAGTGTGTCAAAACCTTGTACCCCTGGTGAACATCAAAATAGCTGGTAAATGGATGTTCATCCCCCTAAAAATGGTATGTATAGGTATTGATCCATAGCCATATAGAGACATACAATTGTGTTTACTGATACTTGATCAGGTACCTGCTTTGCTTTGATAGGTGAATACACTGCGAAAGTGGGTCGTTTCTACCCAATGATCCTGGGTCGGCGGAAATAGGCCTGCCCCTTTATGCGGTGTTTAGACGTGTTTAGGGGTTCTATCAACAACATTTAGAATATGTTAGAATATCAACAAAAACATTTAGAATAAAACACAGTTGTTTTTTGTGTTCTTTTGTTTATATAAGTACATCATGGTTTTCCTATGTTTTCCTATGGTCGATTTGTCTATTAGTCATCAAGCCAAGGTAGCGGCCCCGCCTGGCACGGTCTCAGGGTCGCTTCAGCTTTGGCCGAGGCAAGCTCGGCATGCGCCTGACGAGCCAATCACAACCCGAGCCTGCCCATTTCTGCTGCTAAAAGACGTGTATGGTATGCTTACCCGCTAGGCGATTTATGGTGTATGATCTGAGTCTAGGTAACTGGAACTAAAAAAGCCCAAGATCCATTTTTGGGGGGATTCAACCATTCAACCGACAATGGCCGAGCTCCCCTACAGACAAATAAGTCTCTATAAATAGTCTTTGCTGGCTAGTAATACACATCTCCATCTATGTCAAAACATGTAAAAACCTTGACCCATCCTTCACCATTTCAACAAACTTTGCCCAGCCATATTTCAATTCGTTGCTGGATGTATCATAGCTATATCCCCATTGATGAAACCACCAGTTTTGGGTGGCTTCAACCCCCAAATGCTGCGGAGTCAATCCCATTTTTGTGGGTTAAAACTCTATTTGTCCCGAGTCCCATATATATATAGTTCTCAGTTCTCAGATACACTCCAGTAATTTTTGCATGTACAGTAATTTAACCTCTAGTACTTGAACATAGATATGGAACATGGATCATCAATAGATCATTTACCTACTGCAAATGGCAATTTTCCGCAGCTATGTTAGATTACGAAAGGGTAACCTGGCCGGAAATTCCCCCAGAATCTGTCATTAAAGTCGTTGGTATTTGTCCAGCCCAGAAAGTTGAGGGTACTAAACCATCCCAGTGACCAAATGACTGGGGGTATATCGGTATACAAAATGTCACCGCAACTGGAGATGATGACTATAACATTGGGTTTACCTCATAAGTTCAGTTACAATCATCCCAGAAAAAGTGTTGGTTTGCTGGCTGAGTTTATACCCATCTATTGGGCTTCCATGTTGGTGATTAAAGCTGAATTACAACAGACTATTTCCCACAAATATCCATTTATATATAGATGGACAAAATGGGGGATGTTTCTCAATGCCATGTTTGGCGACCCAATCGGGGATGGTAACTATTGCAATAATCCTGCAAATACCCCATGTTATCCCATAATTGTCCCACTACTATGTTTATAGTTTGGGTTTGCCTCATTTCTCCAAATATGTTTGGAGAAATTCGAATAATTCACCAACCTCAAATATGAACATGTTGGGATTATTCCCCAAAAAAAACATGTCCCATCATTCCAGTGATGTCGCAGTGAGGTTGTTACAATTTAATTGTCCAGATTAACCCGATTATCCATGATTGATTACTACCGTATATCTCGTGATATCCTCACTGTCCTCACTACACTGTTTCTCCCCCTGGATCGGTTTCCCGTCCCAGCCTCCTGTAAGGCCTTTCGCAATGCCTCAATCTCTTCTCGCGCCGCATTCATCAGGGTGGCATGCCTTGGGATAGGCTCTGGATGGCTCCGGCCAGGTGGGAAATCCGTTGGGAAATATTTGGGAAATCGAGTTTCTCAATCATACAGTTGTATCTTCTTAGAAATGGAATGTTTCTTATGCACAAGTTCTCGCTTGTTATAGGCGTTGACCTTTTGCCACTTTCCGAGCGTCGTGCTTTTCTTGCAGCTGCAGAAGGCTCTGGCGTAGTTCTGTAGCAGTGGCATTATCGGATGGCACCTGGTGCATTGCAAACAAAGAGGCCAAAGTTGCTGGTACGGTAAGAAAGTATCAGAAATGATGAAACTGCCAAGTAGATTGCAGTATATGACACACTATTTTGTGATGGGAGCATGGTGAGGAACATTTCCCAATCTCAACCAAAACCCCTCCAACCTGCCTTGGCAGATCACAAACCTGCCTCCAAATCTCGGATGTAAATCTGGGGCTCCATGGGTCCAGTATGGTCCAGTAGTATTACCCTCTGGTAAACATACAAAAAGCTATGGAAAATCACTGGTTTTAAATGGTTTTAATGGGTAAATCCACTATAAATGGTCATTTTCAATAGCTATGTTAGTTTACCAGAGGGTATATCATCTTCCTTTTTGGGGGAGAATTTAAATATTGAGCCATAGTCATCTGAGAGTTATGTACAGAATCAGACCACCAACATCACCAACCATCGACTCGGGACTCAGTGCACCATCTTCACAAAGAGGAATGGTAAATTGATGCAAGTTGAACATATGTTGATATGTATATCTATATATATACATATACATAGGCCCCTTACTTGTGGCACACAGAAGGCTGACCTTAAGATAGCCCTGAAAGAGTCTATCTTATACATTTTAATACGATACGTGAATATATTTCAATATTAACCATATGTGAATATAGTAATGGTTCAATATAGTTCATGATATTTCATTATATATCATAGATCATAATATTTCATGATATACCTCCACACAAGTGGTGTTCATGAACGATTCGCCAGCATTTATCCGGGAAGCCGTCCCCTTTCACCTCTCCGGTTGATGGCAACATCTCTAAATCCAATATATCCCATTTGTTTACCTGGCTTGATCCCCCCATCTCCATGCTTTACCTGGGTCCAACATGTAATGTATGTATATATACAATATATATATATATATATAATATACGTATATACATACAATGCATGTCCAACATGTCCAACATGTCCAACATGTCCAACATGTCCAACATGTCCAACATGTCCAACATGTCCAACATGTCCACAATTTTGTGCCCTGCACCTGGACTTCGCAGGGGATCTCCAGGGAAGCTTTGCCCGGTGCAAAGACTGCCTGAAAGGACATTTTGTCAAATTTGTGGAAGCGAGCTGAAGAGTTGCTGGGATTATCACAAAATAATGCTTAGTGGATTGGTTTGAGGGAAAATTTACAGGAAACCCCATATTTCACGGGATTTCCTGTAGATTTTCCCTTAATCCAATCCATTGAAATGTCATGTTGTATAAGTTGTAGTTAAACTATGAATTGTCATGAAATTGTTCTTTGGCAAAAAAAAACTGGAGTAAGAATTGTTCACTACATTTCATTAGCAAAAATCATGGCAAACTACTGTTTGATCATTGTAGAACCGATGTAACACATGTAAGACCGGAGACTCAAGCGGTACCCTTGGCACAAATATATGTACTAAATGGACGAGTAGGTAGTCTAGTAGTTGAAGTTGGCAGTGGCAAACACTAAATAATTATCATGCTGATGATGGTCACTCTTGCAGGGTGGATGATTGATTAGCCAAACATTAGCCATACATGATTGAATATTATATATATATTATTATATAATTATCTATATAATTACCTACATATACATCATTATATATATACACACATATATTCATATATACAACCTATCTATCCATATATTATATATATATACATAGACTTATCAACAATGCATATTGGCAAGTACAGTTGATAAGATGAAATCATATGTTATAAACAATATCATTACACAGTATGGTTGTGATTGACAATACAATGATCTATATACATTGGTTATATTGATGAAACATCAACAATATCACTCCAATGTCCAATATCAACATGTTTTTTCATTGCCAATGACAAAAGCAATGATCATCCCAGGCAAGGAGATCATACACACACAGCACTTGACAATTGAACACAACATATCAGAGATTGACACACCCCTGAGTTTAAAGTGTTCCCTTTGCCAGAAATAATGGATTACATTAATATATAAATCATATATATATAATCATAAATTTATCATATATAGCTATTTCTAGACATGCAGTAGCAACTTCCTCATTAAGAAAAAAACGATATCGAATCGACTCCGCGAGTACACCAGCTCCGATGGGCCCCAAGGGCGTTCTAAACATGTTGGAAACGGAAGATTCAAACGAGGCTGGATTTAACTAATGGGATTTAATGGGATTTAATGGGAATTTAATGGGATTTAATGGGAATTTCATGGGATTTAATGGGATTTAATGGGAATTTAATGGGATTTAATGGGATTTAATGGGAACTTAATGGGATTTAATGGGATTTAATGGGAATTTAATGGGATTTAATGGGATTTAATAGGAACTTAATGGGATTTAATGGGATTTAATGGGAATTTAATGGGATTTAATGGGATTTAATCGGGATATAATGGAGATAATCAAACATGTCTGGATGGAAAATCCCGAACATCTACCTCATGGTGAAGCTTCAGATAAGTCCGGAACATGCTCAAACAGGGTCCAGCAGTGTGAGCAAAGCAGATGATAAAAGGACGCTGGATTTAGAGGGTCTTCACTTCACCAATTCCCAGCCCCAAGACATACCTGACCGGCAAGACGATCATGAGGATCCAACACGAGGCCCGTGATCACTGAAGAAAAAAAGTGATTTCTTGAGGACCTGGGGTATGTTGCAAAAAAGGATTGAATGGGATTGACAATTCATAGCTATTCATAGCTATTCCATGCAACCAGCCATCATTTCACTGCAAGCGTTTTGAAAACATGTCAGCTGTCTCTGAAAGCGCCTCGTTGAGCTGAATGTCGCCATTCTCATGCAATTCCTGAAGAATGGCCCGCAACTGTGCCTGCAACTCACCAAGCGCTGTCACCATGGGAGACTAGGTCAGGTTTGGTCATCAAAGAGGTTCACTAAAACTCCACTCAACTCCACGATGTTGAATATCTCCATCCCATTTAAGGGCTTATGGGTCAAACATGTTCAAAATTAACATATATAAATCCAATAACCATTTCAGGTACCTAAATTGGAGGTACCTACCACATATAAGGCCTATGTAAGGCCTATGAAGGGAATATCCCCCACAAAACATATTGCCTTTTTTTGTCCTGAAATTCCCATTGATAAATTACCGTCTAGAGTAGACAAAAAAAGTGACTAACATAGCTATGGAATATCACCAATCATCACCATTTTAATAGGTAAATTACCAGGTAAACTATCTATACATGGGCCATTTCTCATATGATAGATTAACCAGAGGGTCCACGGATGTCCACAGCCTGTCATCCACCAGCGATTACATCCTGGATGTCTAACCGTCTAACCGTTACATCCTAGATTCAAATATCATTGGTTTTGATTAGTTTTGCTGACATCCCCAGAAATATCGGGTGTATAACTGTATAACATATTTAAATATATATATATATATAACCCAGTAGTAGCCAATGATTTGTTCCAAATATGTATACAATTTGTGAATTCTTGTAACTTTAGAAATCCCCTTCGGTCTGTTTCCACGTCCGCTTTGGGGTTGTGCTCCCAATGCTCTGGGGCTCTGCCGGCGGCACCACCCGCCATGGATGCAACAACTTTACACACCCTGAGATTTTGAAATCTATTTAGAAATCTTGAGTCTCTATGTTTCTATATGTAGACTATTCAGAAATGTTTTTTCCCATAAACATGGATGCAGAGACCCTGTTCGTGTGCTGTCACTTGGGTCCCACAAACTGCTGATGAGAATGGTCTTCCCCAAATTCAACAGAGAACCCAACAAAAATGGGTTAGTGGTTTATTATTGTTCCCCATTATTTGGTTAGTAGTCTCAACCCGGTCAAGAATATAATCCCCCATTCAATTCTTATCTGGTTAGTGGTCTCAAACCGATCAAGAATGTTAGCCCATAGGGATTATAATCCCAGCCCAAATTTGGTCGTCCAAATGAGTGCGAAATGGGCGGCCATGGGCATAATTTAAATAGGAAGATGATTGAACTGATACCCAGTATGCTCAATGTTGGAATACTTACCAATATTTGGGCCATTGTTGGGGTAGACAGATTCCATGCATGGAGCATATGGGATGTGTGATTACACATATATTTGAACGAATGGTTGAACAAACATACAGCAACATAGTAACTCATTAGAGAAATTTCCAGCATGTCATGTGACTGATTACCAGCAGAGGGTAAAACATTGACAAAAAAACACCAGTTTGATAAGATCTTGAACTTCAGTCAAATGTTCGTCAGTCATTTCAATCCAATGTTTCTCGATCCATTTGCCAGTTGAAGTAAGAATTGGTTGATGGATTCATGTTCACATGGATCCATTTTGAAGGCCTCCTTTTTTTGTCGATCCATTAGAGAAGTAAGAAACGATGCTTGGTGAACTTCAAAGAGGCAAAGGGATCACCAAAAGTATCGTAGCTATTGGCTCCTCCACCCATTAGATCATTTGTAAGATTTCATATGCATACAGAAACCATGACAGCGCACACACACATACACTTTCATGTATATACATATATATATATAGTTTCTATAATCCAGTATATCGTAATACATCCCAGCTATAGCCCCATTGAAACCCAGGCACCAACCACAAAAACACATCGCTTTTCCTGACCCCAACCGGCCGCTGCAGCGGCTGAGGATCTTTCTGTGCCGCGGGCGTCGTGGCCCGATCACCCACGGCGTGGAACATGAAACTTAGACAACTCGAATTGCTTGCGATCAATTGGGTGTGTTCCATGTTTTATGGTTGTACATATACAGGATATATTAGTTGTTTGATGTGCACACACAATATTAATATAATAATGTATATATATATACATATTATATCATATTATAATTTATAATGGTAATGTGCACATAAAAAAAAATGTACAGTAATTAGGCATTGACATCGGTATGTTTCTGTATTTGTCTAGTACATGTATGTTTTCGCCATGGAAACCAATCCATGGACCACGCCGTGATTCCCGTGATTTCCCCCAGGTGGCGACACCGAAACGATTGCCAGCGACGTGTTCAACGTGGCGTCTGGATGTATATCACCCTCTACAGTACATCTTACCCTCTGGTAACTAACATAACTATGGAAAATCACCAAATTTAGTGGGTACTATCAACCAAAAATGGCCGTTTTCAATGGCTATGTTAGTTTACCAGAGGGTAGAATCTAAAACATGTTCTGGGTTTGTCTGAAACTAGGGGATACCCACAAATAGCATCAAATAGCCATGATTGTTTTGGAAAATGATGATCATGCATGCATTGGGATTGGGGTACTCTATTTTCAGACAATCCCTTAACATGACCTCACCGACTGGGCAGTGGCTTGATACTCTGTCGTCAGGCCTTCGATTTTGACCAACTGGAGAGTTGTGATCTGGCCAAAGGATATCGTTTTCGATGAGTTAAAAGATGATGATCGTTGGTGGTTCATATGCGCACTTAATATATCAATCCAAACATTATTGGATGGCGTTGCCTTTGGGTGAATCTCCATGAAAAACACACAGGATGGTTAAAAAAAAACATAATTTGGTATACTTTCACAGTGGAAACCGTGCAAAGCCTTGTTAGTTCCTGCATGGTGACCCATGCATATCCTGCAGAGTAGTTTGGTACCTAACTAGGAAGTGTGCCTAAAGGACCACTGTCAGCCGTGGTAAACTGAATTGAATTGTTCCTGAAGCATCTCACGTTAGGCCATGAGATCGATGATTTTATGATAATTTTGAGCACTGTATGAGGTCAAAAGTGCCGTTTGAGTTAGCCCAAAAGTGGAATGGATCATACAAGTAATTACTAGAAAATAGCAAGAACAAATGTGAGTCCCGTTGGCTTATGATTTACCAAACTCACGACTGTATCCAGTTCCTTGAGATCGAAACACCGACAACCGGTCTGGGGTCGAATTGCCATGCAGACCGCCACAGCGATCAGCGAACTAACACTACCACACTTCCGGATCGGCTTCAGGATTTGAAAGCTGGCCTCATTCGATTGGTTTAAGAGAATTTTACAGTTCTTTTTGTTGACCATCAGCTAAACGGGTTTCCTGCAAATGCTCCTTGCTTTCACCCGGGAATTTGGGATTGAGACCCAAACTGAAAGGTCATCTACCAAATGACGGTAAGATTAGCTTTGCAAATGGGGAGCTCATTGTCACATGTTTTCTTGGTCCATGTTCAACCCTAAAGCTAGGATTCAACTTTGTAGTTCCTATTCGGAAAATAAGTATTCCCCAAAGATTTCTCAGATATTCCCAAACATCTCTGTTTGATACACTAGATTAAGATAGATACTCATTTTTGGTGCCTAATTTTGGCCAATGCCTGTGTTGCAAGAATTCTCACATTCTATCCACACCCTTGGCAAGTTGTTTTTTGTTTCCCGCTAGCGACGATGTGGGTTACCACGCCATGTTCTGAAGCAAAATGACGGCTTACTATTGGAAACATGGGACGCATTATAAATTGGGTATGATTCACTGGCTTACTACGGTTTCCAATGGTTCACTATGTTTCACCATGGTTGACTAATTGTTGAGTTTCCCGCGAAAAAGAAACCAATTGGTTTGGCCACGGCGGTCCGTGAGGTCCTTTGGGTGAGTACTGCCTTTTATATGGGATCGGAAGAATTTTGATTATAATAGGACCCCCCCCCCAAAAAAAAAAGAAAAGTAAACATCTACAAAAATTATTATAATTTGCATTTCTATCTGTTTCAAGTTAACTATTGTAAGTCACTCATGCTAAAATGTGGTTCATTATTCGGCTGTTCAAAAAATAAAGCATCATGAATATTAATGAATATTAGGTGTTGTCAACATCATCTTCCAAAATCAGATGTTTGGCACAAAAATTCCGTTTCAGCCATGAAAAATACCATCCCATCCCACTATACTGGTTGGGTAATAGCTATTAATTATGGACTATAATAATCCCATATAAACCAGGTGGTATAGCCTCCTTCAATAACCTAGCTGGTTGGTGGTTTCAACCCCTTTGAAAAATATGAAAGTCAGTTGGGATGATTATTCCGAATATATGGAACAATAAAAAATGTTCCAAACCACCAACCAGCTAGAAACATATGTATTTTGACTTGTTCATGTAAATTCTTCAGGATTCCGGCACAAAGTCTTCAATGCCCAGCCGATTCCAGCGGGCCCCTCGCACTCAGCCGTCAGTGAGTGGCACCTCACCCAGAACAAACCATATCTCTCAGCCAGCTGAGGTGATTTTGTTGGATATATATATATATACCTGAAGGACCATTTGATATCTAAATTTTCATATCACTTGCTTCTCTAGGTATATGTAACACAATGGTTAAAACCACCATACATTGGCATACGGGGACCCTACGGTCCTATGGTTCTCCAATATGGTCCAAGTCATATTCAGTCCCTATAGATCTAAGATGATGTAGGCGATGATTTTGGGGCTCAAGTACCTTCGGCAATATTTGGATCCATAGGGAATGGACCAAACATGGTTTCATGAGGTAATCTTCATGTTTGGAGTAAGTCTATCTGTATATAGAATTTGGCTAAATTTGGATAAATTTTGAAGCTTATTCACTGACTATGTTGGTTTACAGTAGCGGTACCACAGTGTTTAACCAGCAAGTTGGAAACCACTACAAAATAACACGGGCAACCAACAAACTCATTTATATCAAGAAGGAAGAATTGAATACCTTTATGCCAAAATTAGTAGATTGAAGGATTCAACTTGATTCGTTCATTCAGCAGTGATGCCATGGTGGTTGTGTCAATGCAGTGGCAAAGTGGCAGTGTTGTTTCATGTTTTTTTTTCCTAATCTACTGGTATTACGTCTGTTTAGATAGGACATTATAGCAAAATAGTTATGAAATACATGTATATAGTACCAGTAGATTGTTATATGCCGGAAATATACATAATCATTGCCCGGAAATATTGATATTTCATGATATTTCTATGTGTTTCATAATGTGTGTGTGTGTGTCACATGATCTTTGCACCATGATGATCCATGATGTCCAAATCAGCAACACTTGTTGATACGTGTTGACTGTTTGAACCCTGCAAGCCAAAGTTTCGAATGTTGAGGAGCAACATTTCTCCCAAGGCTTTTCAGGTTCAACCAGATCCGCATCTATCACAAAACACCAGGATTCAACAGATGGACCTCAACGGCAACAGAAAACCCCTATGGAATGGACCTCAATGGATGGACCTGCATGGACCTACATGGACCTGCATGGATATACAGTATTCATTTTTGGTGACAAACTCAGTATACTCACCAGGATAGGATAGGATATAGAATTTAGATGGGATTGTAAGCCAATTAAACTCATCTTCAACATTTTTTTCATATGCATATACAGTATACACAAGACTTGTTTGAACGGATACAAGTGATAACTGGTGAACAATTTAATAGGCGTCTCCACCACATGGTGATCCAAGTGTTGCAAAATTGAGACAACATGGCCCTCTGGGTATTTACTAAATAGCTATGGCAGCTATAACCCAGTTAGTTCGATTTACTGTTTACAAAAATTGTTTTTTTCCCATGGTGTTTCCATAGCAACGTTTTTTGATTACTGGAGGGTAACTATCATATACCCATGAATGAAATCATTGAAAAAAATAGTGAAACAGTAAAACTCCATTGGCCATAGTATACCATCTTAAATAGTAAATGAAAAAACCCATTGGCCATATACTGGAGGGTAAAACCCCATTGGCCCATCGCCTCACCCCCGGCTTCGGCTAGCTTGCCTCGGCAAGACAACTCTGAGTTTACTCGAGGTGGGAAACCCAATGCTATAGACCATCCCCAAAATCATTGGGTATATAAATGGTATATAAATGGCCAGTATATACATATAAACCATCCCCAAATGGTAGCTGTTTATGGCATTGGGTGCTAACCGCATTGGATTGCTAAAAGCTGCTTGGCATTTCTCTTCATTGGGACCCCGCACTGGGGATACATAGTTTTGTTTTTTTTGTGGATTGGCATTTGTTAGGCTCAGGATATGTGTGGCCCTAGCAAGCACTGGGCTTCTTTCAAGGAAACAGAAATCATGGGTATCCTTTCGTAGAAGCAACATGACAGTGGGAAAGTTAAATTTTGATATGCAGTCAAATCATGGATGAATATGTATTCGAAACAGGATTAAGACATATAAATCAGTGCAAGCAGTTTATGTAAATTTGTGCAGCTTGGGCCCAAAACAACAGTCATTTCCGTTGGAAACTCAGGCGTGATTTTGCCCAAAAATAGGTATATACCGTGTCAATAAATTTGTGTGGAGATATTCCCTTGCAGGGCTCCTGCGCAAATGACAGATCTGCTCCATGTAAGCCGCGCGTTAATGCGGAGCAAACGGAAGACAAGTGGCATGCTGACATGTCATGTCATGAGTTGGATAATTATCATTGGATAACTTATTATTGGATAACACAACACTACCCTCTGGTTATGTCAAAATAGCTATGGAAAGATCCACCATGTTTAATGGGCGAATCCACTATTTCTATGGCCATTTTCAATAGCTATGTAACAAATTACCAGAGGGTATATCCCATTAATCATCATTCATCACCAATAAATCACAATTAACCATGATTAACCACTATTAAATCACTGAAGAGTTTTGGACAACTTGTCATTGGAGGGCAAAATCACCCTGATGATTCCGTCTGCATAGCTGTTGGTTGAATCCGAATGTCCAAACGGCTAAACACTCCATGGCTATTGCATGGTGATACGGGATATGTACTTTTCATTGGATTGGTTTAAGGGAATTTTTACAGGAAACCCTCATATCTCATATCATATTTAATGGTAACCATTGTTTCCTGTCGATTTTTCCCTTAATGAACTTTGTAAAATCGATGTGCCGCGTGGTAACTTTCACCATGCTATGCTGAGAGGACCCGGGGACCCCTCAAATCATCCAAGGTTTGTTTGGAATTGGGGTACCCACTACCGGTAATCATTTTCCTATTGAAAATTGCCACACACATTGAGGGCTATATCGCTATATGCCATTTTCAGACACAGACTCCCTGCTCGCCCGGTTCGCGGCCGAAAGACCCAGCCGTTGAAGCGGAAGGCTCAGAATGCCCGAAGTTTGGGCAGATCGATCCTGGTTTTGCAGTGCCAGTTGACATCAGTTGACCCCCCTAGTGATGGCTTCGGGAAATATGATGAAATATGAATTATGAAACAGTTGACATGTGAAGCAGCAAATATGATGTGATATGATGTGATATGTTATGATATGTTATGATATGTTATGTAATGTTATGTAATGTTATGTAATGTTATGTAATGTTATGTAATGTTATGTAATGTTATGTAATGTTATGTAATGTTATGTAATGTTATGTAATGTTATGTAATGTTATGTAATGTTATGTAATGTTATGTAATGTATGTATGTATCTATCTATCTATCTATCTATCTATGTATCTATGTATCTATGTATCTATGTATCTATGTGTGCATGCATGCATGCATGCATGCATGCATGCATGTATGTATGATATATATATATATATATTGAAAGTGATGCCATGGGTCAGTTGTTCGACTTCAGAGAAGCAAAAAAAAAAAAAACTAGAAACACCCCTACTATTGACATCTGTGGATCCACTCAGCACCAGTTTGGAGATGACAAACGGATCTTACCATTGATAAATCAACCGTCAAATGCCTTATGAAACCAACGTGTAAAAGGGGGCCTTTTGACACATCCTGCGCATTGAATAAATGTGCTTCAGAAGACTTCAACCTCCCAGCATAGACTATTAACTACATTTTGATTCCTACTGTATATAGGCTAGGCTCAGTATATTGGTTACATCATATATCATGTTATATATATGCATATATATATATATGGAAAATAAACGGTTATATCAGTTACCACTAGCTAGGACCCAAATGTTGTTATAAGGGGTCCTACCCAATGTTGTTCTACTAGGGCTATAAACATCCTGAATCTTGACCCTGGGAAGTCGTCCATGCCCTCATGAGGCGGATGCCCCGATGTACGCCGGTAGTCGAACGTACGAGTAGCTATGGAAAATCATCACGTATAATACTAGGTAAATCATCTATAAATGGGCAATTTTCAATATTTACTTATGTTAAATCATCTATAAATGGGCCATTTTCAATAATTACTTATGTTAAATGACCAGATATGTGGGTGTTCGGCATTGATAGTTTTCGTGTCGGCCCCAGCAAATGACCGGGAAACAACCAACACCAACTGGGCATATAACTCCAACACATGGGGAACAATTGGAAGAACACAAGATTTATCATACTTCATCCCCAGTAACCTTAGGATGTCGGATGTTATGGATGACTACATGCAGGGATAATATATATATATATATAATCGTTTACATATATATATGTATAAGATGCATATCTATATTGTATACTACATTGCATACATTTTATATCATATTATATGACATAGAACAGGTTGTACAATATTAATTAATGTTCATATGTTATACATTAATAAGGTGTTATACGATAATTACGCGTATAAGAATATACAATGATGTGTGAGTGTGCATACGAACATCGACGAGGCCTTGAAGACACCCACAATCGAGTCGCTGTGTGCGAAGAAGGTGTCCTGGTTATGTCGCAGTGCTCGCTGGTCTTCTAACCCCAGGATGCAACTCCATCCTGTTAGGGAGCTTGGTATACTGCGCTCCTACGGCCATTGGTGAAATCCACCAAAACAGGATCTTCGGGTGTAGCCATCTTCGATTACATCGGATACTTCCTTTTGGGGGTGGGATAATCTTATACCCGTTGCAGGACGGATAAAGTGATACAACAAATTCATCTAATGTGAAAGAACCAGCACAACAACGGCCTTTGAACCACAGTTTGAAAATATGATATAACGAAGGTGTACTCGGTATATCACGGGGTTATCATATGTTATCATCAACAAAAAGGATGGGATATCGACGCAAACCACAATAATTGCAGATAAACAACACACCAATTACACAATCAACTCCAATAAATCACCATTAAATCCCATTAAAATTCCAAAGAATCTTGAGATAAACATTGTAAAACTCGAGAAAAAAACGCCTGAACACTAGGGAGAACAATGACCAACTTATATATATAATTCTATATTTACATATTAATATCATGTTATCACCCGAAGCGCCGCCGGCAACGCCGGGCCTTCAGGGAGATCACCACGCACTGAAAGTCCATCTTTTTCAAATAGTTCACCAGGGAGGAGGTGTTTTTCTTGTCAAACCTGGTGGCTCGCTTTTTTTGAGGCTCAGAGGCTCAGACTCAGATTGAGGAATTGGGTTCAGCTGAGGATGGTGGGTGGGATGGGATGGGATGGGATGGGATGGGATGGGATGGGATGGACAAAACATGACAAAACAACATCGAATGTTGTGATATGTTATGATATATTTGGGGATCCACAAATGGATGGATAATGGATGGATGGCCAAGGTCGCTAGAGACAATGGATGGAGGATATCCTGTGCCCATTGGTTGATTAATAGAAGGGTCCGACCATTCAACAACCAATAGGATCCAATGGGTAGATCATAATATTATATAACAATATATATATATAATGTGTAGTACAGATTAGTACAGTACGTATACCAAACCGGCCCTTCAGGTTTTTCTAAAAGGACAATATCGAAAGGGAAGACGGCTATGGATCCAGCCATGAGGTATCAAGAAATTCAAGAGTTTGCCACGAGTTTAAGACATTGTGACCCTGAATTTGACCCAGGTTTATGTAAGGAAGCAGCGATGGGGTTGATTCAGAGGTGGATTGCCTTTCACAATCTTTCACAGATAGTAGGCAAAGAGTTCAAAAATCCTGAGCAGATCTGCACAGCTTTCTTTTAGGTCCTCATTGGCCAAAGATGGGTTCCAGGAAAGACCGTGGATGCTGTTTATTGCGAAGCAACAATCTGGAAAAGTGGTGAACAGAGAAACTCAATGTATCTCAAGCTGTACTCGACCATTTCAAAGACGTTGGATTTCCTCCAAAGCCCACCTGATCATTGTATCATCTGACCTTTTTAAGTAGCGTATATTCCCCATTAAACACCCATGAAATCCAATTCTTTTGTTGAATGTTGTCCTTTCAGGAAAAAATAAATCGGGGCCGGTTTGCTATGAGATATTATCATTGTTGGTAGATAACATATGAGCGATTGTGAAAACCCTAGGTTCACGGAAAGGACATTCACAAATTTGGGAAGGTCCCATCGCTTACCACAGGTTTGTACAATAATGATATATGGTAAACTTGGGGAGTATCGCTTGCAGGAAACTGCTGTATTTATATATATATATATATGATGAACTATGTATAATATGTGATATTTGGGTATCGCTAATGTGGATATTAGAGAAATATGATGACATAACCTTGAAAAGGGGTATCGCTAATTTGGGAAGGTCCCATCGCTTACCTCGTGTTTTTAACAATTTCCATCAATTTCCATAAGCCAATGTCCGTCGAATACATATTTAGTATTGCCGGGGTTTTTACGGTTGCTCATATAATGATATGATTATATAATGATATATGGTTTATGATATTATCTACCTATTGATTGTTGGTGGTAACCCTCTATCAACCAACCAGTGGAAAAAGGACATCTATGATGGGCACTGAGGAATTGCCGCAGGGGTGCTGCAACACTTTGGGGAAGTGCCATTTGCATACTTGTGTCGGCCATGAATGAAAATTGCAGAAATCTCAAAACAGTCAAGTTGACAGAAATTATAATATATATATATGTATATATCATTTTTGATTTTGTTGCAATTAACATTTCCATAATTATCATCCCAACAGAATGATAAATTACACATAAATCATATGTATCCATCATGTATCATCCCAGAATTAGCCAGAATTATCATTTATATATCTGGAGGGTGGTTTTAACCATCTTGAAAAATATTAGTCAATGGGAAGGATTATCCCATATACTATGGAAAATAAAAAATGTTTGAAACCACCAACCATGTATATATATATAAAGTATATTCATTTATATATCTTCTTTCCTCCTGAGGGTCCATCCATATTCCTGGGTTTCCGGCGGGGCATCCACCTCATCCAGGATCATGAATGGAGGTGGTTGGAACCTCAGAACACAGGACTTCGGCGAGAAATCGGTGATGAGCGCATGCTGAAGATAATGCATAAAATGATATGTTTGATAATAGTAGATGTACATGTATACATATATACAAATATGAGACAATATCTATATATATATATTACAAAGTGTACATATATGTATAGATATATGTATATAATAGACATACGTATGTATAGATATATATATATATACACACACTACATCAGCAATCAAAGCTGACAATGGAACATCCATTGCCAACACTGATCGGGGGAGGGAAGCTGGATTTAGTAAAGGCATTGCACAGTTGGGAACTACCGTAATCAATCCCCACGCAATTCCCGAGGGATGATGTGGATGGGTCGCTGATATGAGCAGCTGTTGGCTTACATTGAATATACAGTTTATACATTTGTCTCAAAATAGGGATACCCCATTGTCACAGCAGTTTATAAGTTTACCATGAAATCACAATTTTCTTCCGGTTAAGTCACCTTTTGTGATGGTTCAGTCAACATCTGTGTTGGTTCAGTGACACTTTTTGTTGGTTAAATCACAATGTTTTGCTACTGAAATCCCATGATGTTTGGCCAAAGGGCGAATGCATGGCAAACAGCAGCGCCATAGACGCCATCCTGGCAGGCAGCGTTGGAAGTCCCCCATCTTTGAACAGGAAAACCATGAAAACTCCTGGGAAAATGATGGAGCAACTGGTGGAACATGGATGATTTATGGACAATTCATGGGAAAATGATGGAACAGTGCTGGAAACTGGATGCTTTTTGGACAATTCATGGGGAAACATGAAACCAATAGATTTCAACGGGAACATTTAGGATTTGATTTATACCATTCATGCAAATATGATGGAAAATGATGGAAACAATATAGCAGGGTTAATATACAAATTCTTCATAATCCTCTAATTAAATTTGTCCATTGGAATATAGCGTTGTTACATGGGAATATAGCGAAAATACACGACACATGATAGTTTATGGATGAGTTTTCATTGCTGACCCATTTTTGGATGATTTTCTTATAGAAAATGCCGTAGTTGGACACATGAATTAATTTTGGAATTGGGTTCTCTCTTACAAACCAACAAGCACTGTGAGGTCGTTTTAAGGTTGCTATGTTTTGCCTAGATCTATGTCCAGTTATGATACCTTGTAGATACTAATGATATGTTCAAATACAATCGAATACAGTATGTGTTTGCATGTTTGCAGCCTCAACTGTTCATGATTGGTTGCCTTTTACATAATGTTGGTTAACCCCCTTGTGTTGTTGGTGAACTCCCCGTTGTTGGTTGGCTGAATCCTCATATCCTGCTATATCTATATCCCATGTTTGTTGCGCAAGCCCCAGCTTTTGATAGTGAAATCCAGACCTTTGCCAGTTAATTCAACATAAATCAAATCAACATGTTTGCCAGTTAAACCAGCATTTCTCTTGGTCAAATCCGATTTTTTTGCTGGCGAAGTAACCTTTCAACCACCAGTGAAACATGTTGTTGGTTAAATTCCGTTAAATCACCATTGTTGTTGGGTTAAATTCCGTTAAGTCACCATTGATTCCAAAACACCAACATCTTCCGGTCTCCCACGCCGGCCCCAGTGGCGACAAGGCCCGGGGCTGGGCTTCCGCACGAGCGCTCGCCTCCAGAGAGGAGTTCCATGGGGAAAAACCTCCAGGGCTTCTGATGAACTGGGGCTTCACTATGAAAAACTGGTTTTAAACATTCAGAACCAACCATGTTGTGGAGATATGTTCCGGGATATGTATATATATATACATATATTATTATATATATATATCATATATTACATTTAACTACATGCTAGTGGATTGTCAATCCACTGAATTTAGGTGTGCTCTGTTCTGAAAGAAACCCATATTTGAATAGATCCCAATGATTACCCTCCAGCAAATTACAAACAAAATCCACGATGCATTGCAGATTACATGGAACCCATTGGGGATATCGCCACGTTGGATTACCGGCATCGTCTCACTGCTCGTGGCTGACCGGGTGCCCATAATATGTAAACATGAGTCAATTAGGATAATAGCTGGTTAATGATGGTTAATAATGGTTAATAATGGTTATAAACATCCCATAGTTTGTTGAACAAGAAAAACAACATGAAACCACCAATCAAATGACCCGCCAGCCCTGGGGTTCCCCGAGCAAACAACTGTTGGAGAACTCCCTTCTGGCCCATCTCTTCACAATTCATCATTACTGCACTTTTCTACATTGTTTCTATCCGGATCCTGCTGGCGTATATCAACAGCTAAGAAATTATAGTGTCAAATATCACTGTGTGTGCAGTGCGAGTGCGCATCTATTGCTAAACGGGATGGCAAAGGAACATTCAAATCTCTCGGATGAGACCGTGAAGCTCGTAAATGCCTTGGCCTAGTATCTGGGTTCGAAGCCCTTGCAACTGGAATATATCTGGAAACAAGCCATTTGGGCGAAAATCCAAAGGCTTTCTCGGTATATCAGCCGAATTCCTGCAGAATTACCATCAATTTTCAATGACATAGCCTATTTTGGGATCAACCCAATATCATATTGCTGGTAAAGAATATCATATCCCATTATGTCCCACATTCTTCAATAATTAAATTACAACATATGAAATCCATATTTTAGTTACACTCTGGAAATGTTACATAGCTATGGAACATGTTCATTCCTATTCAACCATACTTAAGGCATATTAAACCATGTAAAACTACCATAAAACCTCCATTCTCCTTACCGGATGGTATACCCTCTGGTAAACTGTCCCATAACTATGGAAAATCACCATTTTTAGTGGGACATTCCACTATAAATGGTCATTTTCAATAGCTATTTTGACATAACCAGAGGGTACCACCATGGTCCTTCCTATTTAGTGTTCTTCCGCCTTTTGCCAGGAGGACAGGCCGTGAAGGTGATACCTCCGTTGTAAGGTTCCTGGCTTTTGACGCGTGAAAAATGATCCATCCCCACTTGGATGTACCAAGATTCACCCCGAAAATGACCAATATAATGTTGAGACATATTGCATCTATTACCATCTGGTTATTTAACATAGCCATGGAAAATGGCCCATTTATAGATGTTTTTCCCATTAAAACCTCCATTTATGAGGGATTTTCCATGGCTATGTTAAATAACCAGATGGTAAATATATTTAAATATTCCAAACATTGGAGCATATGACAGCATATGTGTCTGAAATTGACAGCTACTCCAAAACCGAAGTGTTGATCATCAGTCTCCCTATAGCAATTTCTGGGGATATACCCCATTTTCGGACATTTGAACATGTGAAGTCGGATTCCAAATCACCGGGCCACTCTTTGGGAAAGCAGCAGTTTCTTGGACATGGTCTATAGATGATGTGGTCAACTGGGGGATAAAAATCAGGATAGATAGCATTTATTCACACACAAAAAGGGCGACTCCAGTCATCGAAATGTCTGAAGATGGAGTATCATTGAGTATATCATAGTATACCCTCTGGTAATTTAACATAGCTATGGAAAATCCATTATAAATAGAAGTTTTATTGGGAAAATCATCTGTAAATGGTCCATTTTCCATAGCTATGTTAAATTACCAGAGGGTATCTATGGAGTATATACCCCTTCAATGGCCCCTCAATGATTGGGGAACATGACTTTTGGGGTACCCTATGTTCAGACAAACTCAGTCATATGCCATCTATCCCCATTATATTCCATGTTTATCCGCTATAACCCCAATTCCCATTGAAATCCATTAATATCCCATAAATATCTCACTATATCCGATACAGTAAATAGCCAATAAACCGACCATAATTCGGATATTTTCGGCCAACTGCCCACTGCGACACGAAACCGCCGGAGACGAACCTCTGGATCGTCCAGGTCTAAGTAGGCCTCAAGAAAAACCGTGAATGCAAACAGACATAGACGACTGCCTGGTGTGAAACTATTCCCTGCTATTCAGCTATTCTGATTGTCTAATAGTCTATAGATTTTGATGTCTTTCCATGTCTTTCCTATCTTTTTGTGGACGTCAATATGATCTTGCCTGCATGGGAACACTATTCGTGTCAATTGACAACTCGCCGCAAGAAACTTGTGCATTGGGCACCTCATTGGGAATGCTAAGCTCAGAGCATGATTCAATTTGCGGCCAAACCATGCGACAGATTGCTGGTCATTCCTCCAAACCATGGGGCCATGCCAAATCTCCGGGCCATTTGGATTTGAACCCATCCCTCAAAGTCAATTAACGATAACACCACCATCACCCAGCTGGTAAACTACTCCATCCTACGGAGTAGTCTTTTCTGACCCAAGGGGCGGAACCACCGGCGAAGCCGTCGTAGGAGGTTAACTCTGAATAGTACGGATTGATCCTTTCCTGGCATGGAACTGTTGTGGGCGCAGAGATGTTTCAATTTTCCTGTGGGTGAAACAATAATAAACAGCATCCCCCAGTCATCACCATAAATAGGTGGTATGTTTACCATTCCCAAATGGGTGGTTTACTATTGTTTTACCCACAGCTGCGGACTTTTTATAGGCGGGTACCATCTTGCATAGTAACTTGTCACTATCTACTTATCACTATTTTGGGGTAACCCCCCCGTATCATGATTCCTGAATTATATTCCAATCTAGGATGATTTCAAAACTTGTTTCGAGTTCCTATGCTTTCTCTGTATGCATACAATTATCAGGATAAATTGTACTATTTCAATCTATTTCACCAATCTGAAATAAGGCTAGTCTGGGATAGTTACCATTGCGACCCATCATTTCGAGTGGTCGCAGTGATGTCGTTATAATTTATCCAGAATTATGATGAATTACGGTCTTGTGAAGCACTTTCTGGCCAACCCCCCCGGTGCACTGTCAGCCTCAATATGTTTGAAACACTTCATGAAGCGCGACACACGGTCCGCCTGCGGCTCAGCGGCTCATCTCATACTGTCATTCATACATCAACCATGACCCCGCAAGAACCAATGCTTGGGGTTAAGCATCAAATTGAAACTAAATGATGTTAAATCTGCTAAATAACCAGCAATTAGCAAACAACAAGCAATCCAAATGGACAACGCTGCAGATTTTCGCGAAGCCGCTAGACTCTGAATCAATGAAGAGATGATTTACTTTCTGGGTTAACATGGCCAACAGCATACTGTTGATTGAGTCCAATCGATACACCAGTGGAAGATGGTGGAAACAACAATTGTTGAACAAATCAACATTCCAGGTCACACCGTCTAAAGGTTCCAATCGTGAGGGATCCTTCACAGTATCTATCTATCCCACAATTCCCACACTGGTCGATGGAAAAGAACCTAAACTAAACCACGACAGCAAAATATCTGAATCAATCTTTCAATGATTGCAAACCAGCAACCAGCAAAAAAGTTGGGATCACTTCATCAGGCCTCCTAACATTGAGGCATCTCGGATCTATTGCAGATAATTAATAAATGTCATGATTCTACCACCTGCCTGCACGCAAAGTACAGTCAAGGCCTGTTTCGGACAGCCCCGTTTCCATATGTGTTTATAGTTTTTCTTACATTCTCACTATTTCTATCTCTATAGCAGACCATTCCAAGTGATTTGTGCAATTTCCGATCTCATCAAGGAACTGATGGAACATGGGTATGTATATATATATATATATCTGTGTATGTTCATATGATGTATATATATATATACATACACATATGCTCCTTGTATGGAATATTTACAAACATGACCCCCAAGGTTGGTAAATATTCCACACATTCCATACATGGAGCATATGGAAATATCATGAAATATCCTATTTGTGCTCATTTCGTTCCATGTCGTAAGTTAACCTCAACACTCTCCGCCTTAACAGCTTCGAACTCTCGCAGAATTCGTTGACTTTCGATGCTGGCCACATCTGCTTGCTGCCTGGAACACCAAATTTCGGGGTGAGGAGAACCTGAAAGGCAAAATGTACCGTTTTCCTCATGAAATAAAGGGGTTCTACAATTCTTTTGGGTAAAACAATTGTGGGATTGTTGTACTAACATGTGCACGTACGTACACAGTGACCAAGCTTTGCCCAGTGCATGTGATCCAAAATAAAGGAAGGTCTTGATCTCGGGGCATATCAAATCTCTGAAGTGGTGAAGATTTAAACATCATCAATGATTTTGGGGTCACCAAAACTCTTATATTCTAAATTCTAAATGTTTGAAGACATGCATTAGACTTCAAGAATATGTTTTGAACATTTATATAGAATATAATTTCCAACATATTCTCAAAGTTTAGACTTCACATATACGATAGTATGCCCTTTGGTAAAGTAACATAGCTCCGGGAAATTAACACTCTTAATAGGTAAATCATCAAACTATATAAAACGGCCAATTTTCCAACACTTATATATGTTAAATAACCAGACGGTAACCTTCCATTATATTCCCATGATATTGCCTATGAAGTCCCTATGAATCCCATTAAATCTCCAAGTTCCAGTGGGCTCATTTGGCTCGGAAAGTCCATGGCATGGAAATCCCACGTGCCGTGGGAACTCATGCGTATATACTGTTATACATGCGTATACATATAATTATAATAAATAATTGTATATATATATATATGTATATACATATATACATATACATATATACATATGTATATACACAATACAGAGTATGTGATGTATATATATTATATATACAGTATATAACATGAAATACCCAAATATGTGTATATATATATGTATATATATATATATACAGAGATGGATAACTGCGAGGCCACTCGCCAAATTCTCGCATCCCCAAGATCACAATGGTGGAAGGCCAATCTCGACAAATATTTCTTGGTCAATATCATACATACATAATACATACAAACACCAGTGAGTCTACATATGCCTTTGATGGACCATGCAATCACTGGTGTCTACATAGTGATTCATATGCATACATATCCCTGTATATTTGTTGGTGTCATTTCCAAGAATTTCTCCAGATATTCTATGTTTATTGGTTTTACAATGTTGGTTAATATCAAATTCCCGGTCCCCATAAGTTGGTTCACACCCCAGTGTATCTGTGAGGTACTGCAAATGCAAGTCTTTGTTGATTAAAACCATCCGTGCTGTTGATCAGGTACTGTAATACAAATTGTTAATAAGTTTATATACAGGTGACATAGTCTAAACTAACATATATATATATATACTCCCTCTGGTAATTCAACAGTTTGCCGTGGAAAATGACCCATGAAAGTAGATGATTTACCGATTACCAAAGGGTAAACCATCCAAAGACCAGGGTCTAAGACCATCCATGCAGTTATGATCATCCAAAATTAATCTTGGGGCTGCAGTTCCAGCTATAATCTGGGATGTCTCACCATATTTGTAGGGGTTACTATATAATATATTACCAAATTATGGAGGTTTTAACAATGGTTATACCATTGTTATACCCGTAAGAATCACCTCAACTGTAGCCCCAAGTATAGATAGTTGATGATATCCCATTATATCCGCAGTACATACCATCAAATTCATGAGATCCCATTTATATAACTATCACCATGATTTGTTGGTTCTTCAGTCAACTTCCCCAGGTAGTCAACCACTCGCCTAATGTCCTGCAACTTGGACTCTTCAACTTCACACTGTTCCATTGCACGCCTCGGTTGAGATTGGGCGCCCATCCCCATGAAGTCGTCGATGGGCTTGGAAACCATTGGAAAAATTAACAAAGGGGGTCCGAAAGTGTCAAATACCCACATGAATGACTTTTTTTTTCAGGGGAAAAAACAAGTGATTAAACAATGGATGGAATGAGGTACTGTATGTTCAGACAAACCACGATGGCGAGTCAATTCACTCTGGTACCCTTGTGTTCACAGCAAAATCGCTGGGGTTCACGGATGTTCTCCCCAGATCTGGTAGTGAATAACAATAGGTTTTGACCCATCCGAAAATTACAGCATACTTTAAATAAAACAACCAAGGAAGAAGGGATGTAGGCCTGTCACGTGGATGGTTGACACTTGTATCTTCACTGACCAGCCATTGTGTGAGAAGGAATGCCTCCAGCGGAAGAATCACCCACTCTCCATGTTAGCATATCTATGTTTTTACCATTTATAAATAGCCACTTCTAACTTCAATGAAAATTGGCACAAAATATCAAGATCTGATCCATCATCCACAAAGTCTGCTTTCGTAACCCTAAGAACTGGAGGCCGTGGCCAGTAGGATACAAGTCTTGCATGATATAGTGCTTGAAGCAACAACATATGGGGGGATTTAGCAACAAATACTTAGTATATAATATGCTTAATAAAGATACTATAAAGCTTATGATATAGGATAACAAACTTGTGATGTTAAGCAACAAAAATTGTGAACAGGCGAACATGGATTCGGATGTGACGGCATCAGCCGGACCATGCCCAGCTGCATGTTGGGGTTCAAATTCTGAAGTTCCCTGTGGCGCAGTGGAAATCGACCATGGGGATGATGTTTGACACTTCATGCCACCCTAAAGCTGATCTTAAGGATTTATAATTTAGAATTTAGAACCATCAAAGTAAACCTTGATAAAACCTTGTGAGAGACTTCAAGAGTGGTTAATAACCCCCATTATCATTCATAGCGAAAGTTGGTATACAGTACAGTGAGATTGTACCAAGCTAGGCACATGATAGCAGGATGCAGCCGTTGGATGCTGAGTATGGAATGAGGGAGATCTCTATCACCATGAAAAGGAGATACACTACGTAGAACCTATCACAAGGGTTCGTGGCGTGAAATGGATAATGATATGGCCAACAATACCAAGTACATTCCCAGTGGTCAGTGGACATACTTGGGCTATAGAGATAAGGATTGGAGTCATGTCATACCAAATAAGAACATAAGGTCCGGAACTTGGATTACAATTCGCCAGGAATTCAATGGGGTTATCGCACTTTATCGCCAACAGATGATGTGTACCCACGATTTTGCCCATTTTACCGTAACACTATTTGACCAACTGTTCATGGCCCGAAAAAAAAACGGTGAATCCCAAAAATTGGGTAACCATCCTTGTGCGGATAGGAGGTTCACACCATGTGAACATATCTGGGGACACCACGCACCTTGTTGCTCGAATCTATTTGTATGTCAACTCCATTTTTGTCAAACCCCCAGGTTTGTTTTCCTTCAAGCCCAATTTTTGCTGCGTAACAAACACCTCAATTTAGCTGCCTAAACCTTCATGTTTGCTAGTTAAATCCAAATGTGTGCCGCGTAAAGCAATATTTCTTTATGGTTGAATCACCCTTTTTGGTGGTAAAATGAAATTGTTGGATGGCTAAATCCTTATTTTTGCTGGTTAAATCTCAAGTGGTGAATTTCTTAGGATTGCAACGAGGACAGACGGCAATGACTGTTGCCTATGCTAGGACAAAGTCGTGTTGTTGCCAGGCATTCATTTCTTTGATACGTGGCAGCTGAAATCCAAGCTGGACCGAGATAGTCTAATTTTCCGTGGTTAAATCACATGTTCTGATGGTAAAATCAAGTGAATTCCAATTTTTTGCCGGTTGAATCCCAATTCTTCATGATTAAATCCTCATGTTTGCATATTTTTGCTGGTCAAATCCTAATTTTTGATGCTTAAATCATGGTAAATCCTTCTTTTTACTCCCTGTTCCATGTTTTTTTTCCAAAAAATCGCTCCAGTTTTTGGCCGTGCCTGGTGAGTTCGGTCACCTGCTCGGCATATTCGGCCTCCACCGTTTTGCTGTCGATCAAGCGATCTTCCGCGGCGAGTTCCTGCGAATCTGGGGATTCAATGGAAACCAACAAAAATATGGTGATCTAATGGGATTGAATGGTTATATAATCCCATTAGATCACCATATTTTTAGCCATCTAAATGATTGGTGAAATGGTGGTTTAATCGTTATATAATGATTTTAACCATGATTTCACGTGGAAATTAATGGGAATTTTAATGGGATCTAATGGGAATGTCACCATATGTTTAATGGTTATATGATGGGATTTAATGGTTTTAAACATAATAACTAACCAATTTAACAAACCATATAACCATATAACCATGGTTTAATCGTTATATAATGATTTTAACCATTAATGATTTTAACCATGAACCATTCAATTAACCATATCTGTGGTCAAATGGCATTCATTGGATTTCATGGTTTTAAACATAAATGGTGGGTTTAATGGTTATTTACTATGTTATATGTAAATGGTATTTAAAATGAAATTGGATTTAATGGTTATATAGTTATAAATGGTCATGGAAAAAAACAATTCCAAGTAAATTGAGTGTGCAGTTGAGGTTATAAAATGGTATAAAAGTGTTATAAAAGTGTTACTAGTATAAATGGATATAGTATAACAACGGTTCAAACTGACCATAGATTGGGATATAAGCCCTACAATAATGGTTGCATATGTTTATGCATATATATATATATACATTTACAACTGGAACTGCACCCCTCAAAAAATGCTGTTTACCCCAAAATGTGTGCTGTTATCAATCGGGCTGTTCACACCAACAAGGGATAAATTGGGTTTTCATGAAACTTGATGAGCACATATGAAGTATCAAAAATGTGGATTTGGATATGAGTCAAATCGCCTCTCTTCTATCGTCCCTAGGATTGATTCGCACAAACCAAAATGAGGGATTCAAACACCTTTGTTGTTTATGTTATCAAGTTGATATGCAGGTCAATTGGTACACGTTCCTAGTGAAATATATTCATGATAAAACATATCTTAAAATTATATTCATAAACATCACACCCTTGAAACTGCCAATCCTTCCGATTTCATGTAGCCTGTAGCTCAGACTCAGCGGTTTTTTACACATCCTACCGCCGTCATTCACTTTGTACATTCTTTGAAAAATACCGGAACGGAGGGTTGGTTGGGCTTGCCGGCCAAACTTATATGAGCCGATGGAGATTCTTATACAATAGTATATCGATTTATCTGTAACATGGCTGAATCAATCCAAGTAAGGACTGGTGCACTGTCTCCCCTACCCTAGAATCAATCTGACCCAATTCCCTCCACGGGAGTGTTAATTGCCCACCGTTTACCAAAAAAAGTGGACATGAACAAGCAAGAACGGGATGTTGACCATGTACTGTAATATGGAAAGGTATCTGATTGCATCTGATTATATAATGGTACGTTTCACGTCATAATGCGCCACATTCATATGTCTTCTATCCTGGCACCAAATTAGGAACTACTTACTCCATTGCTTAGGTTTTGCTCACGCACGCACAAGTGTTGCTTACAGTACACGCATATCTTGTTTTACCTTCTTCTGGCTTACGCCCACCAGAGTTTTGCTTACACCACCCTTACAAGAGGGCCCGTCCTAAACATGAACAAAGGTTTTGAACGTGGCTCATATGACTTTCTGAAAAATAGAGTCCACCACTCCATTCCATGGCTTACCACCATGTTCCAAATACTATAATACTAATGTTGATGTAATGATGCCCATCATAGTGTTGGTTCTAAGGCCCAGAATCTACAAAGTCTGAACCAGGACTTACACCTTCCATTTCCACCATTTATACCCATTCCGTAGCCCCAAATATATTGAACTACATATTTGCAGCACCATGTTGCCCAAGAAGACCAGGGAACTGCTCGGCCTTCTTTTCCTCAGGCAAATGGGAGAAATCCACTTGGACGCTCCTGGGAGGGTGGAACGGCAATGTGGTGCCTTCCCGGTCGTTGGATGCATATGATTCATATTGCTGGGTGATTTATTGGTGATCAATGGAACATCATATTGTTAATCATGGTTAATGGTGATTTATTGGTGATTAATGATGATTAATGGGATATACCCTCTGGTAATTTAACATAGCTGTTGAAAATGTCCATAGAAATAGTGGATTTTCCCATTGAACACGGTGATTTTCCATAGTTATGTAAACGTTTACCAGAGGGTCATGTTAGATTCTTGCAAACACTGTTCATTTCGAGCTGGGGATTGTCTGTCCTCGTCAGAAAACAAAAACTACTCAACAGCTCTTCATGGAGTCCATTCACCTGCTTCTAGTTGATATATGGATTTGATTGAAAACAGGGCACCCCAAAAATCCATGGGTTTAATCGTATTTTTCTCATTGAAATCGACATTTGGGAGGTATAACCCATTGTTCAAACATCCACATGTTTGAGAAATGTCTACTGCAATCACTGACCTTCCAGCCACTGTCTGGCATTAGATCTGGCTGAGCATGGGTCACGAAAGAGAAGGACATTAAAATCCAAAATGTGTATATACCCTCTGGTAAACTAACATAACTATGGAAAATCATCATTTCTAATGGGAGAATCCACTATTTCTATGGCCATTTTCAATAGCTTTTTGTAAACGTTTACCAGAGGGTAGATGATGTTCACAACACCTCCATGTGGGATTTCCCATTGCCATCTTTGATTACCAAAGGCTGTACCTGCAGTGCGATTCATGGGGATTCTACTAGTTGATTCATATAGAGTCAACCAAATATACGTATGTATATATATATTATATGTATATATATGTGTATATACATACGATTGGTCGACACATGTATATATATATATATTTATATGATAGATTATAATAGGGTCATGACAGTTCCTGCCAAACGGAATCCTCACACCTGAAAATAGCCATCCCCGGCTTTGAATGAGAAGTAGCCAGAAAAGCCAGGAAAATCCCCAACAATCCCATGGTTGAACATTAATTGTCCAATCATACATAAAAGATGTTCATTGCTATACTCCATATTTTCAGACAAACCTAAATCACATCGCCGAAATTATAGATTCTATTTAGGATCCAGGAAAGATCTTATATGGTTTGCTTAAACCATTACTGTAAACCCACCATAAATCATTTATAAATCACCCTGTTTCATGGTTGACAAGTATAACCCTGGTTCACGGTCAGATCATGGAGCAAATGTTCACGGTTTTATCCTCATTTCCTCATTATATCCCAATCATACCACCATTTTGATCATTTTCCATTATATCCCATTATATCCCATTATATCCCATTATATCCCATGATATCCCATTATATCCCATTATATATATATATATATATATCCCATTATATCCCATGATATCCCATGATATCCCATTATATCCCATTATATCCCATTATATCATTATATCCCATATATCCATGTTTCATGTTGATCATGTTGTTGTTCAAGTCACCATTTCTCACCGTAAAAAATCCAGGCTCCTGACAGCGGCTTCTAGGTCTTTCAGGCCCATATCTTCAACGTCCTGTTCCCTTGTGAGCACCTCAAATGCGGACGTCTGGTCTGTCGTTAGGCTTTGACCGTTTGAAACATGGGGAAGTTAAATGGGAGATTTTCATAGGGATATAATTGAAACATATCTATATTTGGATAGATAACCAACAATGTTAATTGAGACGTAAAACAAAGAAGAACCAAAAGATTGAAATGTGACAAAACTGGGCTTGAAGATAGACCAAGACTTGGTCGGGTATATCATGGTATATGGCAAATACCCCATGTATAACTGAGATATACGCCACTAATCCAACTAGATGCATCAAACATTGGAAGGATCCATGGGTGAAGCAATCAATCTAACTGGGGGCCTGTAAATAAATGAACTGGATTATATGATGTGGTTATTACCAACAGGTCCTGTAACTGGGATGCATATCCAAATAGTCTGCATTTGACCAGCAAAAGTCGAGGAACATGTTGACTGAACATGAACTAAACATGAACTAAACATGAAAATCAAGATGGGGATCACAGGAGGTACTCCCGGAGGTATTACAAATGGGGTATCTGTATAGGGTCGTCCCCTATCGCCTATGAAGGTTTTGTGCAACCTCAGAAAGGCCAAGGCGAAGCAAAACTAAATTAGTATTACAAAAAACATGTCGGTTACGCATATGATCATTGCCAAATTGTATCATGGGAAGAAATGTGGGGAATGCATGGGAATGCTACCACTTATAGTAATTTTCCATGGTTTTTTGTGGGCCACAATTTGACAGTTGGGCTTGAGAGAGACAAGGAAAAATCATTCGATATTTTTCCAACAGTTTGATGGATATGGCAGAGTTATTCAGATTTCAAGCCAAAATCATGATAGCTCACGGTTCACCAGTCTGAACTTGCGCGTCTTAGATGATTTTTCACACTGGAAAACCATGGCCCGACCACCTGCGGGGCGAATTCTTTAGTCAGCCCATGGATTTCAATCCTACACTGATCTCTGTTTGACAGTTGTTTTCCTTTTTTCCAGTGATTCAAATACCCTCTGGTAATTTAACATAGCTATTGAAAATGACCATAGAATCAGTGGATTTTCCCATTCAAAATGGTGATTTTCCATAGTTATGTAAACGTTTACCAGAGGGTATCTTGAAATCCACTGCAGGATCATCCAATGAGGAGAACAACACCTCCCCAGAATCTGGCCATTCTCAATGATGCTCAGCTTTCTTGACAGCATGAATGTAACAGGTCAGCCGGTTAGCCAAATGGCTATGAATAGTCGTCCTAGAGTCCTAGAGTAGATACAAAATGGAATGTGAAATAGATTTAATAGTCTAGTATTCCCATGGTGTTTTTTGTTTGCAAAATCCATTCTATTTATTTCAGGATGATTATGTATATAAAATATATATACACATAATATATATATATATATACGTGAGACAGCAACTGAGGTACCCCATTAGAACTAGTTGATGATGGAGTCAACTTAGTACATGTAAACTCACTGGTGTTGGCGTTTTACTTGTTGCTTATTCTCCTGGTTATTATTATCTGGTCCATGGCGTCAACTCATCAAAAAAACTGTCAATTGGGATAATCATTCCAGACAGGATGGAAAAGAACATAGTATAATATGCAGTTATTTATACAATTCCATATGCATATATAATATGATTCTGTATTTGAAAGTGACTACACGTCATATTCCCTTTCACTGACAAACTGATCTTGGCTGTTTGAACTCCAGAACTCCGAGCAGACAGGGTTTTACGATTGGTAAAATCCTATGGCATCCCCAAAAGTTCCAAAAGATAGAAAAGTTGGACCTGGAAACAACGTGGAAAACCTATACCATCCTGAAACACACTTTTATCCTTTTGGGAGTTACTATGTTCCAAACATGTCATGTTGGTGTGATGTTCCCTGGTGGATTTGGGAGTTGAGTGAATCAAGATTAATCAAGTCATATCCATCGACATGGATGATTCTCGTTGTAGATGCGGGAATCTCATGTACCTAAACATGATTAAACATGTAGGTACATTACCACGCAATACCGACACTTAATAAACAATACGCGGGCCTTCCACCCGATACGTACCTCCAGAATTTAGGTGCCCTCCAGCAGCCAAACATGGCAAAAATCCCCTATCTTTAACATCTACAGCTGCGTCAGGCTATGTCTCTATAATATATATATATATATAAATGCATTTAAACATATTTAAACAATAAATATGTTGCAATTCAGCTTTGTGTTTGGAGGATATTTCCCCATGAATCACCAACATGAAAGCCCAATATATAGCTGGGTATGAACAGTCGATGGGGCGATCCTAGCTGGATAAATGAGGTAAACCCACTGCCATAGTCACCATCCACGGGGCGGAAGGGCATTGTGGTTGGTGACTGGTGCAGTTGCCCTCTCTGGTAATGTAAGATATCAATTCAAAATCCCAACTCTTAATGGAAAACAATCGGGATATATAATAATTTTACAGTAATTTATAAGTTATTTTCGTTGATTTTTGATTGCCAACATTTGCCACGTTAAATCATATACTGGAAGGCAACGGGGTTATCACACTACCAGAGGTTTCCTTCAATTCTCCCGCCACCCTGCAGCCATCGGCACTCGCTCCATAGGCGTTTTGTCGCCGTCAGTCTCCAGCAAGGGTAACTCCACGTGCCGTTCACCTTGGCTGCGACCATCTCTGACCTCTGGAAGCCCAACAATCGTGGAAGTCTCACCGGAACATGCCCCAAAAATCCTGATGAAGAAAGTTGATGTCCATTCTACATGATGAAAATCCTGAAGATTCCTGAAACCTGATGTTAACTTGATGTCCATCATTCATCACAAACAGGAACAAACTAGGTTCATCATCCCTTTGCCCAAAAGCCCAGCACTCGTTTCCCCTGGCAGACATCACACTGCTGTGCTCGCGCAGCATCCTGTCTGCGGTTGGGTGAAACTGCTGGCTGGGAGCGTGAGTTCGAGGAGGTTGCCCTTGGGGTCAACCACCTGCTTCTTGGGATTGGACATCATTGGATTAGGTATTTTTTTGAGGCTGAATGGTAGATTCATGGGTTGTTTCTTTGCGACAAGTCGGGATTGCACCAACAACTAAAATGGTGATTTCACCAAATGAACGGCACATGCTACTTTTGTGATTGGTGATTCAAACAAATCGGAAAACTTATGTATACTTGCATGTGTATTGTATTGTATTGTATTGTCTTGTATTGCATTGTATTGTATTGTATTATAATTATATTGTATATTTTATCATCATATTATATTATATTATATAGTGTTACCTTATATTATTGACCGAGGGTGATCAGTGATCATCCCAGACAGTAATGGAAATAACAAGCAACCAACATTTATGCGGCTGTCACTAGGCTGAATTTGCTCGTCTAAACTGTCCATAGCTTCCATGAACGTCCCACCCCGGTGAACGGACGCGTTTCTACCCGGCGTTTTTTGGCAAAACGCGGCGTGTTTCGCAACGGCCACGGCGCCCATCATTCGCTGAGGCTGGACCGTTCCCGTCGCCTTTGGGACATCAGCCGTGAGCCCTCGCTCGTGGCAGTGAAGTCCTCGCCAAAACAGTCGTAACCTCGGCAGAAAGATCACGGAGAGCAGTTTTTTTCGTGATTTTAATGGGGATAACAATGGTTAAACCATGTTAAACCCCTCATAAATTGGGAATAGCATGCTTAGTGATATCCATTCATATCAATAATCCAATACAATATGAATAACACAGGTTGATATTACCATTTATTAGCATGTATTGATAACCACTACAAATAACATGGTTGGTGATGGTTATATAATGGTTATATATGAGCATGAATAACGGTTATATATGAACATGAATGATCCCCTTGCATTGAAGCTGGCAGAACAGGAAGGAGCAGTGGCTGCTAACTTCCTATTGACTGGGATTTTGACTGGGGAACTTTTGACCAACAATATGAGGAAAAAAAATGTGGCTTTACTCCAAAACTCATTCCACGGAAATCCTGGTTGGTTAAGAACGGTATTCCCAATTCATGATGGGAATCCTCAATATGCTGTGATTTCAAACTTGGAGAATTTAACCGACAAAATAATCATCAACCAATGTGTTGAACACTGCTTGTCAAATGGTGTGTAAATGGACGTAAAACTCAAAAAAATGAACAAGATCTCGTCGCTGAGATCATTAAAATGCAAAAGGAAGTTCAAGAGTATTGATAGGGAGTTGAACGACAACGATGAGAAATTTGACACGACAGTAGGGACTACATTGTAGTATATAATCAACCAAATGAATTGATCCTTAAAACGACATAGCAATAAACATGTGAAAAGAAAACACAACACGGAAGGAATAGTTGGTGCTACTGACCTATAGCAACAACAAAAACGGCATACAGTACATACAACTGATGCAACCATGCAGCTTACAAAAACATATTGCTTACGTACACACACACACAGGACAAACAACAAACAACACAGTGAAAGAAAACTGCTATTCTCCTGGTCACAATGATTTCAAATGAACGCATGAGAATGCAAATAGTTTCAATTTGCTTACCTTCTAAAATTGGAGACAATGGCACCAAAAGTTGCATTCTGATAAAATGACACAAAATAGACCCACAAGATCCAAAAATCATCAGCCAAACCAATTTTATCCAGTATATAAATGGTTCCAACCTCCTTGAAAAATGTTATATACTAGTAGTTGGGGATAACGATCCGGAATACAGCAAAGAAATTGTCTGAAACCGCCAATCATCACCAGATAGGATTCCTAGTGTCAACTATAGATCATAGATCAATATTCCTAGTACTACTACAAGTATGATAGTTGGCTTTATACCGATTTATACCAACCTTTTTTGCTGCTGGAATCCACCATGTAACTGGTGGTTGCTCTTCTTGAAACCAAGGTGCAATCACCAGAGAACAAGATTCTCGTTGGCCTGGCTCCCGCCCAAAGATTCTCCTAATTGGTATATAATACCCATCTTAAGAAACCCCATGAACCAACCCCCCCATGAAACCATATGACCATGTCTCATGGTTAAATCCCTCCAATGGTTTTGAGCAGTCTCCAAATAGATCAACACTGATGGCTCTGTGGTTGCACGATGGTAAATGCTGACCGACCTCACTGTCTCGATGCACATTTGTAGATGTAATACAGTACCCCCTCAAATGAGTCAACTACCTTTGTTTTAGTAGGATTTTACATAGACTTCACCTTTCTATCTTTTTGGAGGTTGCCAATATATACATGTATATACATGTATATGTATGTATATATATATATATATTTATCATATCTACACATACATGACATGTGTCTATTATAATATATATACACACACCATCAAATCCGGCCAATGCATATGGGTTTGCCTGAACACAGGATACCCCAAATTCTCATGGTTGACCATAATGTTCTCCACAAAAATTGATATGAATTGGAGATATCATCCTTAATTTGTGCACCCAAATGAACATGGTTAATAGAGAATAATTAGTATTATATATGTAATAAATTATAATTAATAGTTATACTATGTTATACTAGTATATCACTAGTTATTATACTTCCTATGAATCTCCCCAAGTTCCTAACCAGTTCCCCAGTCTCCCCAGTCTCCATGGCCTCGTCTTGCCATTCCAGCGTCCTCCAATGGACGGCAGCCGCACCTCCCGTTGCCCCACCGGCACCGCGGAGCGGCACCGCGACAGCCGCCGCTCCCCATCGTTCCAGGACGCCGTGCCGAGGCTCGCCGTTGCGGCGGAACCCAGGCGGGCGGAGCCCAGGGCGCCGGGCAGCGCGCTGCGCACGGGGTGGCTGCGGGGGCGCGGGATGCGCAAGGCTTCACCTTAGTTTTGAGGACCTGGTGTGTTGTGTGTGTGGTTGGCGGTGTCTCCTGTCCCAAGCTGATCCCGATTGACAAAGCCATAGAAACACAACCATCAGAAGGGATGTGAAGATTATATTTCAAATCCACTCAAGATTGCATGCATGAAATGTATTGAAATGTTGTTTTTCCTTAGCCATAGATATCTTTTCCTCCATTGGATGCCTATGTTTTTTTCGACTCATCTACCCATGCACAGGAGATTCTCTCAGATCCCAGTGGCTGATGGCATCAAAATCCTCATCTTGAAGACCACCTGAGTAGTGCAGGGGATTCACCGGTACATGCATCTACTGTGAGCTTCTGGCAAAAATGAATCAGCAGATCAATCTACGTTTTGGAAAATGTGCCTTTTGTACGAACGTTCTCTTTTTTGAGATCTTTTTCGGACCTTCACACAAATCAAAGTAACTACAGGTTTTCTGGCGACTGGTGGAACCCAAGTGACTTTCAGTTGATCCATCTGGGGTGACCCATTGTCCCATCGATGTCACAGCTTTCAACATCCGAATTGATACCTATCCAATGGGAGCACCACAGCGAAGCTGCAATCCCATATTCGAAGAAATGCGTCGAAATTTCTGGTTGCTGAGCCATCCAAGAAATAGGAGGCTAGCATCGTTATCACCATTCATCATCCCATTTCTAGGCTTGGAAAATCCAGCCATTAACAAAAATAACCGCCAACGCCGCCAACCAAATAAGATCATGATTTGTTAATATCCCCGTGTTTACGTGTTACATTTCCATAACATGTTGCTACCAATTGATGCCCATCAATTCCTTGCCACCTCTCAAACCCCCATATGATTTTAAACGCCTGTTTCATGCTAGTTGAACCATGGTTACCCCTCAGTAAACTAGCATAGCTATATATAGCTATGGTAAATGGCCCTTTTATAGATGATTTTCATTGATTTATCATGATTTATCTATTAAACATGGTGATTTCCATAGTTATGTTAGATTATGTAAACGTTTCCCAGAGGGTAACCTCCCCTTGGTTTTTCCTAGGCCATGGATGCCATGGCACCCTCTTCAGGAGCAGCATAGACCTGGATGCCACGCGCCTTGCACCGTTCCAACTCCAGCAGATCGTCATCCACCAGCAGGATGCGGCTGAAAGGTACACCGTGCTTCACGGTTGAACCCAGTCCTTGGAGGAGATGATTTTGATGTCTTGAAAGTCTTGAAACCTGGGATAGAAATAGATGAAAAATATCTTAAAGCCGATTTACAATGATTTGTCATGGGTTAGTTCAAGTCTCAAAACTTGGTATGTATTATTGTAAATCAAGAGGCTTTAGGATATTTCACTGGTTAGTGCATCGTTTTTGGTGTGGAGTGTTCAAACATGGGCACAGCCCAGTGGTTTATCATGCCATTATGGGGTACGGTATACCCCTTTCTGGACAAACCCAGGTAAATTATGTATAATAATCTCAGATCTAGTTGGCCGAAATTCACGACATATGTAAAAATTACTCTCTGAAATGTTGTTCCCCAAGGTTCCCTGTTGCTTGCTTCTTTGAACTTGTCAATGACCCCTTGTATCGTGTTGAAATCAGCTAGAACATGCTAGAACCGTCCAAAAACCCGTGACATCAAAGAAACCAAGTTGGGCACCAGAAAATTGATGGGTGCCAAGGTCCAACCCTGTCCAACACCCACAGACTCATAGACTGTCAGACTCATTGGATCTCAACTAAGAGACCTCAGATTCTGGGCACTGCGACAATTTCATGAAGTCATGTGGAAAAGGAATCTCTACGACATTTTTTCCAAAGTGGAAGCCTACTTGGAGGAAATGAAACCCCAGACTGAGTTGCTGAGCATCATCTCTATGAGTGTGTTGGATAAACTTGCTGAATCTGCAAATAGATTGGTTTCTCCAATAGTGGGTTACCCCGAGACCCGATTTATGTTTGATCATCATGTTCCCTCTTAAAACCACCGGTAAATTTGGGTGGCCCCCGTTTTCAGACATATCCAAATAGCACTGTGTTGGTTGTGTAATGATATTTATTTATATATAATATATCCATCCCAGTATGTTTGTCTCATTACATCCCATGATAACCTTAAATGATATTCCCCTCAGCCACGCTTGTGCACAACACTTGTGAAAGGCTCTGGGGAGACATCCGTTCAAGGCGAGATCTTCGATGAAACCTTGGAACCCATCGGTGATCTTCGACAAACCACCGACCAGTCCATGTCTGGGGCATCGAAGTCGTATTTCTATCATTCCCCAGAAAGACAAACAAGGAATTCATGAAATCACCATGCCCAACAGTAGGAAAAACATTGAAATAAATAGCTTTTGTCATAAATTACTTCCTCAGGGACCCCCCCCTTTCACTGTTCAAAATAGCACCAAACTACATGGTAAAAACGATCCCTATCATCTTAACTATCATGGTTGACTTCAATTGAATGGGTTACAGTTACAGTAAACATCCAAAAAACAGTCTTCCGTTGTCATGTGTGATTTACCGGATCTTAAGTGAGAGATGTCCAAATGTATGGATTTGGGTTTAGGGGAAAACTAAACATCAACGCTACAGGTTGGTACGCTCCCGTGTTGAGGACTATCCCCACATGGTGCCATAGCTGTGGAAAAGGACTCATTTTTAATAGGAAAATCGTCTACAAACAGACTGTCGATATGTTAGATTACCAGAGGATATCCTATGTTATGACATTTATGACCACACTGATGGCAAATGATGTTCTGTTTACCATGCGATTGAACATGGGTCATTAAATGTCCCCATTGAACATCACCCAACCAAAATCGGTATATGGTCTTTTTTATGGCTACTTTTTCAGGTGATGTCCAATATTCCCAAAATGGGAGAGTTCCCAACCCCTGTTGAATGGGCTTCCAAAACAACATCCCTGCCACTGCGCCAAGGCATCCAAGGCACCTGCCTTGCCCTCGAAGCCCACGGCCTTGCCCACCAGCGGCGCATCGAAGAACTTGCTGAGCTCCGCGGCGTCTAAAGCACTGCGGATGGTGCCCTCCTTGGGGCAGGGATGCGATGGGATATTTAAAACAATGGATTTTATGGGATAATAAACATATTGTGGGAAATTTCACTGGACATATTCTTTTCTGTTTTTTTTGATGGATTTAGTCTTAGTTGTGGAAATATCAAAATTATTGGACAATATGGGATATTGTAAAATATCTATAAGGTTATATCATATGAAATTATGGCTATGGGTCTATGGGAATGTTAAGCCTATAAAGCAAAACACACATATGAGATATTTATGGGTTTTAAAAACTTAGATTATGGGATACTATAGTTATATTTAAATAAGATCAATGGATTTGTTTTGTTGGGAACATCTACAGGAAACCTGCTGCCTATATTTTTTTACCCTCAAATATAGGGGTTCTGGTTCATATTCTCAATCCAATTCAGGGATGGGAATCTCGTGGGAATGTGGGACTATCAACCCCTATGAGTCAAGAAATACAATTACCATCTGGTTATTTAACATAGCCATGGAAAATGGCCCATTTATAGATGGTTTACCTATTAAAAATGGTGATTTTCCATGGCTATGTTAAATAACCAGAGGGTACGAATATTTGGCATATGTGGCGAATGATATGTCGGTGATATTAGTCGCTTGATCAACTTCAAATGCTCCGACATCCGAATTTACTGATCTTCGATCTTCAATGGGATGATCTCTGATTCCAACTGTGAGGGTATTTCGAACTATATAATACTATATGTTTTTTTTATGGGGGATCCTCAAGTCACCATAGGTTCCAACACTAAAATTGTCTATAATATGTCTGTAATATGTCTGTATAATGACTTGGATGATTTGGTGGCAGGCCCATTTTAGGAAACCTCCATATCATACTTACTATATAAATTTGGATGATTGGGCTAGTTCAGTATCTCCCAGTGGTAACATCATCTTGGGACAGCCACGACTTGAATCTGTTGCAGTGAAATCACCATCTACAAAACTGGGGTAATGAAGATTGTTGGTTCGCACCTATGGTATACCAGTACTTGCATCACTAGTATATATATAGTATAAGTATAAGGCCATATCAGTTGTATTACCAACACAAAGCCTTGTAAATGGACAGAGAATGATGAGCGAGCAAATGCATAGTAAATGATTAGGAACTGGCCTCCTCTTGCATACCTTTAGGACATCCGGCATTTTGGGTTAGTTAATGCTAGTTACCTATCTGCCAGGTAACTGGAAATGAAGGGTGGGGTATGTCACCAGTGACATAAGGGGATATCATACCAACAAAATGCTTAATTTTATATATGGAGAACTGGGTGAACTAACTAACCTCTTACAAGTGCATACAAGTGGGATATATTAAGTTCGCTTAGTATCCACTTGCTAACCACTTACCAAGTTCAGGGTCACCCCTGCAAAACATGAAGTGTGTTTGATGACCCAAGTTTACGCATTGTGGAGGGACCCCTTGTGATTATATAAAATCATGGGCAATATCGGGCAATGTATTTCATTATCATCGTGATCATCATGACCATCGTGATCATCATGATCATGATGATGATGATGATGATGATGATGATGATGGTGCTGCTGATGATGATGATGGTGGTGGTGGTGGTGCGGGGCGGCGGCGGACCGGCGGTGACCATGACCATGATGACCATGATGACCATGATGACCATGATGACCATGATGACCATCATGACCATGATGACCATGATGACCATGATGACCATGATGACCATGATGACCATGATGACCATGATGACCATGATGACCATGATGACCACCACTAATACCAGGACCATGGCCATGACATATGCCCTAAAGGCTTTCCTGGAGTTTCACTGTTTCAAACACCAAAATTGTCAAACCAAACAAACAAGCCACATTTTTTTTTTCAAGTGTCAGTGCTCTTGGAGATGATCCCCAACGATGCTCCGTCCGCCCTTAGACTCTTCAACCTTGGTCCCAGCATGGCGGCGCGTTCACAAAGTTCCAGCTGTTTGGTCCTCCGCGCCGCGCGGTCCCCGGGCGTGGCCGTCAACGTGCCGTCGAAGTCGAAGAAGATCACCGCCACGCCGGCGGCCGGGAGCATGCGGAAGTCGTCGCGGAAGGGGCTCGGAGATTCGGGTCCTGGGGGCCAGCGGCCAGCGGATCCGGGCGCCAAACATTTTTTATGGGGAATATTCTGGGTGATGGAATATTGCACGTCTGAAAATTGGGGATGATGGTCATTTAAAGAAACCAATGGACAATTAATGATAATTCTAGGTGCTAAATGGTTTTAAACAATGGGATCCGGAGTGGCTTCAGCATGATTTTCAGACATAGCTAGGTATTGATTGAGGTTGCAGTGATCTGGGTGGAAGTGTGCAAATGGTTAAAACTTGCACCAACCACTTAGGGCACATTGAAGGATATTCATCAAGGTTCCAACGTACCACACACCCCCAAGTCCCTAAATATTGGAGAATATTGGGAGGCTGCCCTACCCAAGACAGCCATAGCAGAGGAAAATGGCCCACTAGTGTGGGATGTCCACCAAGATGGTTGCTTCAAATACATTACTACTGTAGGGGTTTTCATATACCTTCACGTCAAAACAGCAGCTGTTATATCGCTGGATATTCTGGTATCATACAAATGTTTACCTGTCCCCATGGTTGAGACTCATCGTGCAAAAGTTGTGTGACATGAATTGAGCCCTGAACAGCATTTTGTTCAGCAGCTTGAATTATTTCTATCGTTCCAATACTCTCAGAATCTATATCATTCCCTCTCATCCCCACCTTCCAGTCCCCTCAAACTATCAGCCCCAGCATCTCTCAAATCCCGTCAAATTTTCCGACTTCAGCGACAGCTCTGAGGACAAGGCCGACAGCGCCCTTACCCTCGGCCTGGCGCTTGGCAGGGTATGGGAGCTCCTCACTGGCAGCTCTGATGGACTGCAGGGCGCATCAGCCAGGCCATCGTCCTCCAGCACCGATCGCAAGGAGCCGCGGTGCGACAGCGACACCGGGTGCCGCTCCCCGGAGGCCACACATGGGACTGGAGACGGGGAGGCCGGGGCGGCCGGGGCGGCCGGGGCAGGCGCCTCAATGCGATGTGGGGACACCGAGCGGCATTCCAGCGCCAAAGGCCGGGCCCGCGCGCGGGACCGGCCAGTTGGGGACGCGGAAGAGGACGTGGCTAGCACGGAACCTCCATCCTGTGGCGCATTACCACAGGAGTTGGAGGAGGTTCACCATGGCGCAAAGGTGGTGCATGGAGGATTCTTTTGAGGCCGATGTTTTTGTGGTGGTGGATCTGGCTATCTGCTGGAGGTGACTGAGGAAAGCAGCATGGGAAGAGTCTGAAAGATTGTGATAGGAGCAAGTAGAAACTTCCAAGCCACTGAAATTGAAATAGTTCTGATTTTCCAGAGCCGAAACGGGTAGGTTTCACATCTGAAGAATTGTCCAAAATCGGCCCATTATGATGAAACATTATGAAATTAGTAGATGGAATTTAGAACACCGCAGGTGAGCGTGGAGAGGTTGATGGATACTGATGGTCCACTGCACCACATGAGTCGTAGTGAGGTTTTTCATCGACCTCCAGGCCGCCACCAATCCCGGAAGATCAACCACCTATTCTTTAAACGGTGAGTTCAGGGGTACAGCAAAATCAGTAAATGATGCTACACATCCAGGTGACATCGGTACTGGGTGTGGTTATGAAAACCCCTTTTAACATGTATGGTTTTGCAATCCTCATCATCCTCTTAGTAGGGATTAAAACACAGAATATTATGAAACAACCCACCTGTCACCAACAGGTCTTGCTGATGATACATTCTCATATTCCCTCATCTGAAATCATCTCATATCTCCGTTGCAATGTTGTGGTTGATCAAAGTGTATCGGATCAGCGTCAAAATCACTGAGAAACCGAAAACTGAGGCTCCCGCGGCACTCGAAAAAGATGGTGCAAATGATGCTGAACAACATCTTCACCTGGTCAGGCATAGGAAAGTCTGACCGTTTTTTTGCACTCCTGCGGTCCTGTGAGACGCGAGAAAATAGAGTGCACAGTTTGAGGCCGCCTGTGGCCTTGCTGACGGTTAGAAATCAATTGTTATTGACATCTTTATTGGCTATTCCCACAATTAATAATACTCAGCAGTAACTGGGTCTATTTTCAATCTTAAACCTACGATAAAATTCTGTGGCTTCTATTCATTTCAGGTAATCCCTGAACTTGATAAATTTGATAACTTTTTATGTGGTTTCTATTCATGTCTATTCATTTTTGTGGATATGCCATCTTGACATATAGGGATGAAGCCAGTCGGTCGGCGGCCTTGTCGTTCTGTTTCTTCAAGCGTTTCTTGGCCTCTTCTGCCTGAGCCTGGCAGCGTTGCAGCGTTGCAGCGTTTGAAGCCAGGAAAAGGAGATGAAACCGAGAAGCAACAAAACTTGGTTAAAAACAACATGGTTATTAATTATCAACAATGGTTAAAAGAATGATTAAAAACTCGGGATTTAATTATCAACAATGGTTAAAGAATGTGGATTTAATCATCAAATCTTGGGATTTAACCATTAAAACAGGGATGATTTTACCGCAGCATGCGGTGATTTAAGCATCAGAAAATTGGGATGCTGACATGAGTTGATCAACGTTCAAAAAATGAAAGAGAATCAACCACAACTTGGGAATTGACCGACGAGCATTTGGACTTAATCAACGAAAACCACAGTTTTGCATTTAACATGGTTTAACCAACAAAAGACGTGGATTTTACCAACAACAAGAACGGACTGAATAGACAGAAACTTGGATTTAAGTGTTTTTTCACAACCAACAGAAGCTTGTCCTCCAGCTATCGAACCTGCCAATCGTCCATGCTATGTCGCAATTTGAAATGGGGGAGGTTCCAATACGATGTTTGACTACCAAAGCGCAAACAACAAATAACACCAAGCATGGGGTTAGATGAAGTATCTCGATATTTAGGATATAAAATCAATACTATTCAACCTGAAAGGGGACCCAAAGACATACGGATAGCTTTAGAACCAGCCACAAAAGCTTCCACTATGACCAATGGGAAAATATTTGGAAAATCAGCCAGAACTTTTCCACACAATGACGACTCTTCGCAGCTTCTGCCCATCTTCGCATCCCAGGGCCTTCATCTGCTGGATGTCGCTTTTCGCTTCCTTGCACTCTGCATCGCTCTGCTCCTGGAGATTCAAAAATGGCTGGCTCCAAAAACACCAACTTCTACCATAGGGCTGGCTAATCTAAGCTTATTGTCATAGTATGCATTAGTATGCAATAATTTATGTTACGTTTCTGGACTACACTACTCCCTACCAAAAGGACCAAACTGAGGCACCAAATTTGTGATGTCAACAACTACTCATGACCCGGATTAAGACACCCTGACCCTGGTTGATGAATTGGGGTGAATTTTCCCAAAGATGCCACTGAAATGGAACTCTCGTAAGTGAAGTAATCGATGATTACCCCTATGTATAGATCAATATAGATCAAATAAGTGATCTATTAATCTATCCATAATCCCAATACTCAAGCAACAATTAGTCAAGGCCTTGTCTGAAAATAGGTCACTCCATAATCCCATGGTTTATCATCAGTTTTCCTATCAAAACTGCATTGTTTTTTATTACCACAGCTGCCATGGACGTATCCCGTGACGTTTCCTTGTTCTCCACCGCCTGCTTGTGACGATCCAAGGCAGCCTGATGGCAGCAAAATAGTGGGAAGTTGCAGCAAAATAGAGACCCCACCCAATAAAACAAATATTTAATGGCGGATGCCTTAAGGGTATACCCCCGTCAACATACCTCAGAATAATAAAGTACTATTCTGGCATACCTTGACTTCAAAAAAAAAAAATCCAAGAACTCAATGAGATATATGAGATTTTGGAATAATATCTGACAAAATGATACCCCTATATATAGTTTTTCTAGCGAAACGTAAGCAGCTGCGCGCAAACGACCGAAAAAAGATGAAAAAAGGTTTCCCTCCTTGCAGAGCTAGGGTACAAATAACAAAAACCTAGTACTTGCCCTTTCCCACTCATTCCCACTAGGGCCCACAATAGTTCTTTGGATGAAAATGAAGAGAATATGGAAGAAATAGGGGGAAGTATGAAACGTTGGAAAAATCTCTAGGAGAGAGCCAGGTTGAGAGCTAGGTTGAATGCCATTTTGTGGGTTTTCCCCAGATAAGAAATTTTTCTAGGGGTAGTGGAGATGCCTGGCACCCCTCAAAAACCAAAGTGCAGCTGCCACAACCACCAAACTAGCCCAGAAACTGGAAAAATTTGTCCAAAAAAACGATGGAAACCAAACATTTCCCCTTTCCCACTCATTCCCACTAGGGCCAACGAGAGTTCTTTGGAAGGAAATGAAGGGAATATGGAAGAAATAGGGGAAAGTATGAAAGGTTAGGGAAAGCCTCTAGGAGAGAGTCAGGTTGAGTGCCATTTTGTGCGTTTTCCCCAGCAAAGAAATTATTCTAGGGGTAGTGGAGATGCCTGGCACTCTTCAAAAACCAAAGTGGGCAGCTGCCACAACCACCAAACTAGCCCAGAAAATGGAAAGAATTGCCAAAAATGAAAACAAAACATTTCCTTTTCCCACTCATTCCCATTAGGGCCACAACCACCAAACTAGCCCAGAAACTGGAGAAACATGAAAAACCAATAAAAACCAAACACTTGCCCTTTCCCACCCATTCGCACTCGGGCCATTGAGAGTTCTTTGGAAGGAAATGAAGGGAATATGGAACACATAGAGGGAATATATGAAAAAATGGAACATATGTAGGATTGTTCTATATAGTTGTATTTTCGATCACTTGAAATCTATATGAAATCAAAACCGAATTATTCCGGGGTATGTTGAGGGGCTGCATCATAATTTCAAAACTCTAACATGCAAAATCGTAGACCAACCCCTTGAGGAAATTATTCAACGACAATTATTCCAAATAAAATTATTCCATAACCCTAGTTGATACCCTGGAACATTTTTTACAAGAGATCCCGCATAATATTTAACACAACTCATATTATAGGATATGCAAACTATCACAAAATTGGGATTCATAGATATAGACGGTGGAGATCCTATCATGTCTGCATATTGGAGTAGATCGAAACTGGTTCCAGGCCCCAGCTACGGCAAAAAGGCGTTAGCCACGACTGACCAAGCGATCAGGATGTGGTCTACCCTTTCAACAACTACTGGCATTGCAAAATCCCCATTTTGGTATCTTTTCAGAGTCCCGGCAGGATCGTCCGCGAATCGAATCAGCCATTAAGCTATTAGGACAAACTGTTAAGCCATTAAATTGTTAAGCTATTGAGCTGTTAAGCTGTTAGGACAAATTGTTAAGTTTTTAAACTGTTAAGTTGTTAAGTTGTTAAGCTGTTCGGACAAGCTGTTAAGCTATTGAGCCGTTAAGCTGTTTGGACAAGCTGTTAAGTTGTTAAGCCGTTAAGCTGTTTGGAGAAGCCGTTAAGCTATTAAGCTGTTACGCTATTAAGCTGCTTGGAGAAGCCTTTAAAAAATTAAGCTGTTTGCGTAATAGCTTAATAGCTTAATAGCATATTTTAATAGCTTGATGGCTTAATAGTTTCCACCACCACCACCGCCACCACGACGACGACACGACGACTACTACTACCACCACTACAGTACAATAAGTGCTGCCGTGACATCCTTGCCTTTTAGAAGATCCACGAGTGGAAATCATGGATCAGTTGCTTGGAAGCTGCCGTGGCTATGCTTTCATAAGTCGGGCCCGGGTAGATCGGGTAGTAGCCATCCGGAACGAAAGTAATATGGAACCGTTTCTGCAACACCTGCGCACTTGGCATGAGCAGTGTTTCAATCACCTCTCTCTGCGCGAGCAGCCTGCATGAAAATAGGCAAGCATTGGCTGCTAGCGGCGTTTGCCCAGCACCGGTTGCGCTGCCCTGTGACTCTGCTTGGGTCCAAGTGCATAGCCGTTTCTTACTGATAAAGTGCGTTCCACTTCTGTTGTCACTGAACCCTTGAATGTCAACAGTATTTGCTGCTTCGGCCGATGTCATCAGGCAGCGATTTTGCTCATAGAGCATCATTTCCTTATCTCAGTGGGCTGCATGTGGGGAATCGCTGCGTAGGAGAAGACATGCTTACATAATACTATACTCTCGCAGAAGAATCATCTTAGCAACAATGATTTTTCCAGTCTTCATGCAGCGCATGTGCCGTCGAAGGAATTGTAGATGTCAAACTTCCGACTATGTGGTGATATGACAAAGCGCAGGTGGAAAGTGTCGGAGAAGAGAAGAGAAGCAGAAACAAGATGAGAGAAGCGAAAGATTCGGAAGAAAGAACGCGCACGTGCGCGGAAAGGTGGGAAAGTCGCGAAGGACTGTGTTTGTCCAATCAGTGGTTGCTCCGGAGAGTCGAAAAGTAGGCTCGCAAAAGCGGCGGGCATCGAGCCTTGTGGCGAGATGAGAGGGGAAATCGTGCGCGCTGTTGTGGTGCGAAGCAGAGGTATTCAAGAAGGCACAAACACGTCACGTCCGGAGCAGTTTTGGGAGTTCATTGGTTGAAAACTTGCATAGCATTGTGGCACGAACTGCATGTGCGCGAAAAGGTTGGAACGTCGCGAAGGTCTTTGTTTTTCCAATCTGCTGAGCCATGGGGCTCCGGAAGGTCGAAAAGTATGCTCGCAGAAGCGGTGGGCGCGGAGCCATTTGGCGAGATGAGAGGGGGAAAAAACGTGGACGCTTTTGCGGCGAAGTAGAGTTGGAAGTCAAGAGTCAAGAAGCTAAAAGCACGTCATGTCCGGAGCAGTTTTGGAAGTTCATTTGTTGGAAAACTGCATGGCATTGCGGCGCGAAGGCTATGCGGAATGCGGAAGGCAAAATACGCAAATCAAGTCATCTCCGGAACACTATCGGAAGTTGAGCGAT